ACCAGCCCTCCTATTACCTCCCATCCATTATTTACCCTTGTTTACCCTCAGTCTAATCCCTCTCTTATCCGCTCAATCTCGCCTGTTCCTCCCGCCAGATGACCAATTCATCCCGCTCCTGAATTATTTTGCCTCATTTCCCTCGCGCCGACTGGATCTCACCCTGTCCACGGTCTCTGCCCAGCGCCAGATAGGCTGTGCCTGGGATACATACATCCTACTATATTACCCCTACCGCATCCAGTGTGCTTAACTCGTTACTGACTCCCACCCCCCTCCCACTCTGTCCCATGCAATCAACCCTCCCAAGCTTGCCTTAATTAGGATTAAACAATAGTACCTACTGCCGGATAGCTTCGGGTATCAAAGCAACTGTCGGCCTCGATCGAGAAAAAAAAAAAGAAACATACCCCAAGGATACGCCAACACCCCTGCGCGCCCGCTGTTCCTACCTCCTTACCACCTATCTGACAGCCCTTCCGGTCTGATTAGCGCAACCATGGGGGCTTACAGTGCATCGTCATATCAGAATGGATCGCGGACTGGCTCGAGTTCCAGTTCCACTAACAGTGACGCCTCGGATCGCTCGAAAAGCACGGCCCCTACGATCTACAGCGATCGACCCATTCCCCTCCAGAGGGCGACAATGGACGTCTACGACGAGACCGACCCCAAAGCCTCGATCACAACCTACACATCCACCATCCCATCGGACGACAACCTCTCCGAAACCCCGCGCTACGAGGTAACCGATCGTAAGCTCGACATCTTCTCGACCGATGTCATCGCCTCCAACCCTTCGACTTTCGGGCAATTATTCCCCTCCTCTCGACGGCTCCTGATCCGACACGATGATGCGACCCTCGACGGGAACATGAACCTCCGCGTGGACACTATGGTCCCGCAGAGGGGTGGCTACCAGCAAGATTTAACCCTATTCCATCTTCGCATGTACGATCTCTTCTCGAGAAAGTTTTCCTTCAGACGTTACTGCCGAGACTCTGGGCGGGAGGTGTGTCACTCGGAAAGGAGACCCACGGCATCAAGTTTGGATAGACACCCTGTCTTCCGGCGGTCTTGGGGTAGTGTGTTGGCTAGCCTGCGGCCGGGTTCCAGTGGCCACGGCGCCATGCCCGGCCAGGAGCATCAGCGACAGGACTCGGGGTACAAGTCGGTGGAGGATGATGATGACGATTCCTTCGAGGAGAGGCATCTAGACCCCCGGGGCGACGGAGATCGCCAATCCGTGCTAACCGATAGCACCTTGCTGGAGTTTTCCAACTATGCTCACGTAGAGCTAAAGCGCCGCGGCGCCGGACTCGCGAAGCGATACGAGTTTGAGTATTGGTCCACAAGATACCAATGGCGGCGCGAATGCCGGAAAGAGGGGGACCTGCGTGAAGTATCCTACCATCTGGTCAACATGCGCACGTCAAAGACGATCGCCCATATTGTCCCCGAGATCCAGACGCCGATGGAGGCGATGGAGGAGGAGAAAAAGGGCGGATGGATCCCTCCGTCATCGATGTGGATCAGCGACTCGTCGGTGTATGAAAAGATGTCTGACGTTGCCGAGTAAGAGGAACACCTCGCCCGCATTAGGCCGGTGGCCTGTCTTCTTTTGAGTTTGAGGCTGACTAGTGTCCAGTGTGATTGTTGCCACCGGGTTGACGTGCCTGATTGACGACTGCATCCGGCGCCGATGGCATTCGAAGCGACATTCCCAGTTCATACATCCGATGCGGACCACCCTGTCCAAGAGCATCGAGCTCATGGGGCCGAGGCGACTGCTGGGTGAAGTGTTCCATCGACGAGGGTCCGCGTGAAAATGATAGGCTGTGGAGGAAGGAAAACGCGCTGGTAGAAAGCACCACGGCAGCATGACGTGTTGCCGCCGGCCCTGGGGGGCGTGGGAGAACCAGCCAGCCGCAGGCCACTGACAGGGGGTTCTCTAGGCGACCACTTAGCTCTAACGACTTGTGACGACCGCAAATGATGATGTTTTGATTGGTTCTGGCTTCCGTCCCGATTTTTGGTTGGCTCATACTGGGTGCTTTTTTTTTTTTTTTTTTTTTGTGATTTGCAGGTACTATATTTGGGGGGGATCGAGGGGGAGGAGGAGGGGTGGCCGGAAGTTCGATCCGGCATGTAACAGGAACCGGGGGGTTAATGCATGTTATGCTGGAAGGGACTGTACCTAGGGTGGGTGGGGAGGGGGCTGTATGTAGTTTCTTGGTTGGCTTGCTGTTTCAGCCTCACCTTTTGTATCGTGGCATCTACCGTGAGAGCTATTTTTGATTATGATCAACATGTATACTGGGGGAAGAGAGGGGACGCTTGCGCATGTCACATTGGGACGATGCATGCACGACGAACCTAATGACTAGCCACATTGCACCACCAGCTGTCCTGCTGCTAAGTGTTCTGGACGGGGAACAGGGGCTACCGTTATAGTTCGTCCTTGTCGGCCTGACGGGGACTGGGACCCCCTGGTCTGGTCTGGGCCGGGGCAGTTGGTTTGTGAACCAGATGGGTTGGTTGGATGGTCGGAGTTGAGAGGACATGGCATCTTGACTGTCTGGGACTGTGGTTTCCCATCTGCTTTCTCCGTTCGAGATGTGTGTATGTCTGTGTGTCTTGTTCATCCGATGCAGCTTGCCTGAGGCCAATGCGGGGCAGATCGAGGCTCGTTCTGGCCGAACTGGCGGCGCGTCGAAGAACCAAAGCGCTTCAGCTTCCCCCCGTCGGCGCTTCCCAATCTTGCTTGCTTCTTGCTTCTTGCTTCCTGCTTCCTGCTTCCTGCTCCATGCTTCATGCAGGTCGGTAGTAGATTCCAGTCCTGCTAGTCTGCTGCTAGCCTCCTGCTGCCAAATCCCTTCCCCTTCCCCTTCCCCGCTCCCTTGTCCTCTTCTCTTCTGCTTGGTTCACGAGCAGCCGCATGTTGGAACGCGAAAGACGGATGAAGTGAAAGATGCACGTATGCCCAACACAGTGCCAAAGGGAAAGCAACGAATCATGGCTCCTTGGCCAGCGGAAATGGCCTGGGTCGAGTCTACCTCCCTACCCCTTCCCTCTTCGCTGGCAACTTGTGTCTCCCGCAGAGAGAATCTTGGTGCACAAGCCATCCCTGCTGAAGGTTTGGTTTACCGCGCCGGATGATAGTGACAGCCTCCAGGAAAGCTCTGGCCACACCCTGCACTCGACTCTGCAGCTCCCTCCCCACCCCCTGTCTCACGTTCTCTCACTCTCATGGTATTTGCTCTTGCTCATGCAGAGCGGCCCGGTCTGGGACGTTTTGTTTTAGGGCTGAGGGGAAATGGATGGGCTTAAATTGCCCCCCGGTCCGGACGGACGTGAGGAGGACTCCAGTTGTCGCTGCGCTGGCACGGTGGCCTCTGGGCCCGCTTCCAATGCGTTGAGTGGCCCCCCGAGTGGCCCTGAGGGGCCCCCGACTGGCCCCAACTGGTCCAAGGCCTCCGACTTTGGCGTCGATTCGTCGCCATCGTTTTGCCTATGGGGCCTTCTCCTCCGCTTTTGGGCAACTAGGCCAGCCCCTCCGCCGTCCCAGGCCTTCCAGAAGGGACCGCTCCCCCGTCCTGAAGAGCGGCCATGAGGCGAGTGGCTTGTTAGTACCCGATGCATACTTGGATAGTGGTGTATACATCGCTTCGCTTGCGGAGTCGGCGAGCAGAAGTCGAGCCACGATGACGGCAGAACCGGCCGACTGAGTTGTCCGACGAGCTGGCTGGGGACGGACACTGACACTGACTGCCATACTTTTCCCTTGTACAACAGAAACAGTTGCCTCTTTGTCTGGAAATTATTGCCTCCCCGTCAGTAGATCTGACCGGGGTGGGGACTAGCCGTCTCCTTCCCTGTCTGCTGGCGTTTCTTCAAGGGCACTCCTCTCAGTCGGCGTGCGCCGGGCCGGGCCAGCTTGCAGCCTCAGAATGGTGCGCAGGTTCTCCATGCCACTGGCGGGCCCTTGAGTGGAGGATAGGGGAAGGAGACCGGGGGGGGAGGGAAGGAAGATGAGCTGACAATGACATGTACCAGACTACCAGCGCCATGCATAAGTGCCTCCGTTAGGTTTGATGATTACTAGTAGGTTCTGTGTTTGTCATGCCCTGCTTTGCACGGTGTCATTTTGGGAATATTGGGAGAGATGGCCCACAGTTTATATGACTCCCCGCTTCCCAGAATCATCGATGCTGTTCGGTCCAGACGGCAGACAAGTTCGCAATTCAATTCAATTCCATCCCATTCAATTCAATCCAATTCAATTTCAAGCCAGCCACGCCCCGAGGAAGCACCCTTTCCTCTGCTTCTGTTCCTACTCCTAGTCCTGCTCCTATCTATCCCATCTCTATCCCGGGCTCTCTACCAGCCCATTGCCGTTTGTGCGGTCGAGTGTCTTTCTATCTCTACCTTACTTAGGGCCGATCCGGTGAAGTATTTCCGGGTCTGTGTGTGTGTGATTGTGGGTGCTTGCTCCCTCGCGACTTTGGTGGGATATCGAGGACCTCCCCAGGCCCCTTGTTCCTCCGTGACTCGGTGAAAGAGAAGACCAATCTCGTCCATTATTTGCTCTATTCGACTCAACTCGACTCCCATCCCCCTCGAAGTCCAGCATGGCTGCCGCATATAGCCCCCAGGCCTCGAAATGGCAGGACAAACTGAATGGTATGCCCCACTCGGCAGCAATCCTAGTCGTGACGACGGCCCTTTTCGCGGCCAACTAACCCTGATTTTTCCCAGAGTATTGCACGCAGGCCAAAATCGCCCCTCCCGTCTACAATTTCTTTACTGATCGTCGAGGTAAGAGCCCTGTCATCCGTCTCCTGGCTATCCCAGACCCCCCCCTCCCCCCCCCCAGGCCCGTCCCTTGTGGCCAGGGTTTCCCACGGCCATCCCCCAGCCCTTTGCAGGTTGCCCACTGTGTGTCTCGGCACTTGAAGGTGGAGTCGACCTCCCTTCTTCACCGACTTTTGAAACCACCAAAACCTCCCTGCCCCTCTGCCCCTCCAAACTTCAAAGAGCTCCGGTTACTGACGGGTTGATTGCTTCGTAATCTCAGGAGGTCGCACGGCCTGGTCCACGTCCGTCACCATCCAAAGCCCAACTTCGCTGTACCCTCTCAAGTTCAACGCGCGATACTTCTACGACGGCACCAACAATGCCCAGGAGGACGCTGCCGAGGTAGCCCTGGGAAAGCTGCCTCCCCTCCGCCAGGCGTGATGACCCAGGGGGCGAGCGGTGCGCGCACGCGCGCGAGAGAGAGGCTGTATTTCTAGCACTGGTTTTGGCTGCCGTTTGATAACTCTTCGTCGTCTTCTTCTTTTTTTCATTCTTATTATTGTTCTCTCTGGGAAGAATTCGCCAATATTGTTTGCCCCTTGTTATTGCCATTTCTCGTGCCTGTTGCTGCTGCTTTTTTCTCCTTCTTGCTTCTTCTTTCGATTTCTGAACCGAACTCTTTGCCCTACCTGCATGTTGTGTGTGTACCACACGCCATCCGGATTGATGCCGATTCCTCGGGTCTCGCAGATATGTACAACATTTCGGATGCCGACAGTTTTCGTTTTCGCTCGCTCAGTCGCCTGGCCCCCCGCCCCCCTTTTTTCTTGCCGTTTTCTTTTTTCCCGACCCCAGATTGTGATGTGGTGGTGACGATACGGATGCGCCCAGGGACAAGCCGGTGGGATAGGGGGGATTGGGGGGGGGTGCTGTTCGACGGATAAATATTGGTCCTGGGCTGTCTGTTTCCTTGTGCAGTCGATCCTGTGGCCAGGTCAGGTCAGGTTGTATTCGGACGGCTCGATTGCAGGGGCGTGAGTTCCAATTTCAGCTCCAGTCTCAGCTCCAGGCGGTCGGCAGAGGATCCTGCACAGCGGTGGTGTTGTCCCTTTTGCAAAGGCGACGTTTCCCATCAAACGCCCTTCCCCGCCGCCACCACGATGGTGGTGGGCCCGGTGGCCGATTTCTTCAGGACGACAGAGCCGATCTTCAAGCCGCACCAATTCTGGTCCTTTCTGCATCGACTGAGCTTTCGGGTTTTTTTTCTTTCCTCTAATATTTGTCAGCTTTCCTCCACTGCAGCAGCTTTCGTCAGAACCCTTGTGCACTGCCTGGTGTGCCTCATTGCGCGGGAAACCCATGGGCTGGACTGGAATGGAATGAACTAGACAGACAGACAACGTTAGACAAGAAGGTGGTCGACTGTCGGAACGGACCAACGGCGTGCGGGTTCCGAGGGGGTTGGGATTGCATGGAGGGAAAGAAAAAAATCCACACACAACACACACACGGACACAGACACAGACACAGACACAGATACAGACAGACACAGACACAGACAGACACAGAAACAGACACAGATACAGTCCCAGTCACAGACACAGACCAGACACAGCCCAATACCGTGTTTCGGGCCGGAGTTGAGAGAGCGTTTGCCTTGCCTACTTTACTTTCTTTCTGGGAATTGATTGATGGTTGGATCTTCAATTCTCCAGCTCTTTTTTTTTTTCTTCTTCTTCATCTTTTTTTTTTTTTTTTTTTTTTTTTTTTTTTTTTTTTTACTATTATTATTTTTATTAGGTACTATCCGAGATCGAGATCATCGTGTGCTTGTTTCCAGGAAGGACTATTATTACAACTAGTTACTACTTCTACTAACGAACTCCATCGCCCTTTTCTGTCCCTCCCGTTGTCAGCCAAATAAACAGTAACCGGTATTATAAATAGTAGTAGTAGTATAATGGTGGCCGGATAGTATAAATATCCTGTCATGTTCGGCCCTGGATCCAGCCAGCCAGCCTTACGATATAACCTTAAACGCTCACGTGTTCGTGTGTGGTCTTTTCGCCTGTGCGTTCCGCCGCCGCCGCCTTCCGATCCATGGTTCGCCCACACATCATTTCCTTTGCGCTTCCCCTTCTGGCTTAGGTTTCTGGTCCCTGGCCCTGTCCCTGTCACTATCTCTGTCCCCATTCTCACTTCGTCGACCTCCCTCTCCGTGGCAGCTCGTGTTCGTTCGTTGCGTGGGTTGCGTTTAGCTTTGTTCTTGTTCTTGTTCTTGTTCTTTTTTTTTACGTTGGTTTGGTGTTGATGTGTGATGGGTGGTTTGGAGCTGCTGGCTGGCTGGTTGGCTGGCTGGCTAGCAGCTACAGAGCACTGACTGACTGACTGACTGACTGACTGACTGACTGACTGACTGACTGGCTGGCTGACTGACTGACTAGCTGGCTGACTGAATGACTGCGGGGATGGGATCCTACTCTGGCAAGGTTCTTTCTCTACTCCTATTCTTATCTTCTCTGCTATTTCCTCTTTTTCTTCTCTCACTGAGTCGAGTCTGATCTGGAGGTTTTCGAGGGTTTAAGGAGAGGAAGAATACCTGGTCTGGTTGATGCCTGGGCTGACTGTCGGGACTGCTAACCAAAATGAACATCTTTGCGTCAACCGATTTGGAACAGTCGACTCGACTCGACACAATACAAACCACCCCTGCGTCCGTCGACCTTGAAGGGAGAGGAATTTATCCAGACATGGCATCCCAACAAAGTCCGCATCACAACCTCACCAGCTAATACGCAAACCACTCTCCCGACTCCGACTTCCCCCGCCTGTTCCTCCACCCATAGTACACTCGCAGCAAGATACACCCCACCGTCACCATCAGAAGCAATCCCGCGTTCGTCCAGTGTCCCGTCGGGTAGCCCTTCTTCTCCTCGTCTGACTTGTAGATCCACACTCCCACAATCTGTCCGGGCGCCCCGAACGAGACATTCAGCGCGATGGCGAGCCCGGTCCCCGACGTGGAGCGGATATTGGCGGAGAGCCACCCGAGCAGGGGGGGGATGCAGGCGAAGGAGCCGCAGGCTGCGACAATGAGGCAACCATATCGATGCTAGTCATATTAAGTGAGTGGTCGGTCTGGGAGTGGGAGGGCTGGGCCTACGTACCAGGTATGCGTCGGGAGGTAGCACGGCGGATGCGAGGAAGCCCATGGCGCCGATGAGGGCGAAGGCCGCAGAATGGAGACCACGGCTGCCTTGTTAGTCCCTGTGCGTCTCTCTGCCATAAATGGGGCTATACCTGTTGAAGTGATCGGCGGACCAGGCAACCGCCGTCGTGACTACATAGGCGGCGGCCCATGGCGGCACGGTCATGAGCTGAGCACGCAGGTTGGAGTATCCAAGTCCGCTGACGAGGGACGGCGTGAAGAGCGACAGGCTGGCGAACGGGGCTGAGATCCCGAAGTAAACCTACAGGTACGTTAACTGCGTGATGCGTCCAGGGTGTGCTGCGGGGGGACGAACTATGTAATGTGCATATAACCTCCAGTTGGTCAAAACTGCCTTTGCGTCCTCCCAGCTCATGGCCTTCGCGGCTCCCTGAGAGCCTTCGATTTGCAGTCGCTGGGCTGCGAGATTCTTTTCTTCGGGACTGAGCCATGATGCAGACTCGGGATAGTCGGGGAGGAAAAACCACACCAGAAAGGCCGTGGCGCAGGACGGAGCGCCCTCAATGATGAACAGCCATCGCCAGGCAGCGAGGCCGCGCACCTCGTTCATGTGTCCGACTCCATAGGCGATGGCGCCGCCAAAAGCCCCGGCTAGAGTCGCCGACGCCAGGATAAGGGCCACTCGCATGGAGCGTTCTGAATTGCGGTACCAGAACGTCAGATAGTAGACCAGTCCGGGGAAGAGACCCGCTTCGGTGGCTGGGAACAGTCAGTACACACAAGACAGATAGCAGGAAACGAATACCTCCGAGCAGGAACCGGATGCCGGTCACTTGGGCGAAGCTGTGCGAACCGCCCAGGCCCATGGCGGTTGCTCCCCAGGCAAGCATGAGGAAGCCGATCCATCTCTACACCATCAGTAACGATACCGCGGCGGAGAGGTATAACGTACGCTGGGCCTCAGCTTCTTGAGCAGATAGTTCGAAGGCACCTCGAAGAGCGCATAGGCAATCAGGAAAACCATCAGTGCGACACTACACTACATGATTAGCCCCGCAGCCAGCAGAAGTCGATACCACTCACGTGTACTGATACGAGGTCATATGCGTTTCCGAAAGGAGATCATTCCCCGTATCCTGGTTGAGGATTTTGGCATTTCCTGATCCGTCAGTCCATCCACCGCGTACAATGGGAGCTTGTACATGTACATAGGTAGACACCTACCTATGTTGGATCGATCCAGGTAGCACAGCAGGAAGGCACCCGAGCAGAGAGGCACAATATGCAAGTCCTGCTTCCAGACCAGAGCTTTGTTGCAAGCAATGAGTTCGGGGTCGTAATCATAGCTCTCCTGGATTGTCAGCTGCGTTACAAAAAAGAGCGGGAAATTATTCACCTGAGGCTGAGCGACTTCGACATCCGGGGCGCTTTCAGCCCCTGGGGTCTTTTCCACACTCATTCTGGGCGACTGGGTTGACGAGAAGAGCTTGCTTAACACACACACACACCAAGGCGGCATCTGCTGATCCAATATAGCCACCGAATAGCCCGAAGACAGACAGAACACGAGACCCAGAGCGTGAGGGTGAGGGGACAGCATGGCTGGCTCAGCTCGCCACATCTTCTCAGCAACCCACGAGATTGCCATTATGGTTGAAGCTGTGACCAGGGGCTAGGAACTAACTAGTGGCTGATCGGCAGCCGTGGCCCAATTCAGAGATGATCTGTTGTTGGGGGATTGGCGCATTTAACAGTCAGTCCGTCGGGACTGAAAATTCCCGCGGCACTATTGATTGACTCGCATGATTGGGTTTGGGGGTTGATGTACATAGGTAGGTAGGTAGTAGAGTCCTCCGTAGACATTCGAGGACTGTCATCGTGTGTAGACATGAGATATGTGTTATGTGTTTGGGGAATCTCAGGTCATCTTCACTCCGCATTGAGGGGGAATGCGGGGAAGACCCTCCGGTTCTCGTACGGTATGGCACGGCAACACACGGTATGGTAATCCCATAACCAGACAGGGCCTGGTCCCGTGCAAACATTGCAAACCAAGCAAACGCCAACGCCAGCTGATATTGATGGCGATGACCAGACAAGAAATCACATCTCCAATCGCCTCGTGGATGCCCATCAACGCCTCTCCCCTGCCAGTCTGGATGAAATGCTTTCGCGCTAGCCCCGGAACCTCCCCCGTTAATCTCACGCATCTCACCTCCCCAGCCCAAGGTCGCCTGCTCGCGCGCCGCCCCTCCCCTCCGTGCGGGGCTCGAATCGCAAGCATGTCGACGGCCACGCGCAAACCAATGCCGTCCGCATTGACTCTTGACCTGCACGCAAAGTGCTCCGTAAGCATTCCCCTGATCATGCCCGTCAGATATAGAGATAGTCCGCTAACTTGTCTATCCCATCCCACCCCAGACAACCAAAGCCCGCGCCAGCACCCTCCATCTCCCTCATGGCTCCGTCCCCCTCCCCATCTTCATGCCCGTTGCGACACAGGCCTCCCTCAAGGGCCTGACATACGACCAGCTCAAACAGACAGGTTGCATGCTCTGTCTGAACAACACCTACCACCTGGGCCTGAAACCCGGCCAGGCCGTCCTGGACGCCGTCGGCGGCGCGCATAAACTGCAGGGATGGGATCGGAATATCCTCACCGACAGCGGGGGGTGAGTGCCGCTCCACCACCGTCTCCCGGTACTTCTGACTTATGGGCTACGAGATTGACGGGTGTAGATTCCAGATGGTTTCCCTTCTGAAACTGGCTACTGTTACGGAGGAGGGTGTGCGATTCCTCAGTCCGCATGATGGCACGCCGATGTATGTTCCCCCCTCATCCCGCTGCGCTGGTTACCTGTGTCTGACTTTGCCTGTCTGTCTGCGTCTGTCTAGGCTACTCACCCCCGAACACTCCATCTCCCTCCAGAACTCCATCGGCTCGGATATCATCATGCAGCTAGACGATGTCATCGCCACCACGTCGCCGGACCACGCGCGCATCCACGAGGCCATGGAACGGTCTGTCCGCTGGCTGGATCGCTGCATCGACGCGCACAAGTACCCCGAGCGGCAGAACCTCTTCTGCATTATCCAGGGCGGGCTGGATCTGGAGCTACGGAAACAGTGCTGCGAGGAGATGGTCGCGCGAGATACGCCGGGCATTGCCATTGGAGGGCTGTCTGGAGGCGAGGCCAAGGAGGATTTCTGTAGAGTGTATGTTTGTTTGTGCCGTGGTGGTTGGTGTCGGGGGTTGGGCTGACTGTTGGGTTTAGGGTGGATACTTGCACCGGGTTACTTCCGGACCATAAGCCGAGATATGTGATGGGTGTGGTGGGTTTTGCATGATCCGGGTTGTTGGTGGTGAATGAGTGACTGACTGACTGGTTGGTATCGTTAGGGTTATCCGGAGGATCTGGTCGTGGGCGTCGCTCTGGGAGCAGACATGTTCGACTGTGTCTGGCCGACTCGAACCGCCGTATGTTATGTCTTTTGTCGACTGTACCTTATGGTTGATTGCGATGAACATGCTAACCCCTCCTCCCTCCAGCGATTCGGAAACGCCGTCGTGCCCACGGGCACTCTCAACCTGCGTCATCGGTCCTACGCACAGGACTTCCGCCCCGTCCAGGAAGACTGCACCTGTCCCGTCTGTCGCTCGAAAGAGCAGGGCGGGCTGGGCATTACGCGAGCGTACATCCACCACCTCACGGCGAAGGAGACCGTCGGCGCGCATCTGTGAGTCGTCCGACCTGGGACTTCTACTAAACGTGTGCTATATGCTAATGAGAACAGTCTGACGATGCACAACGTGCATTACCAGCTGACGCTAATGGGTTCCGCGCGGCAGGCTATCCTGGAGGACCGGTTCCCGGCCTTCCTGCGCGAGTTCTTTGGGAAGTTGTATGGGGAGAAGGTGAATTATCCGAATTGGGTGATCGAGGCGTTGCGGGGCGTGGGGGTCGATTTGATGGTTGATCCTTGATGCCCGGGGGGGGTATATAGGGCTACGTAGTGGGGAGTAGACTGGTAAATGAGTAGTATGATAGACATAATGAAGCTATGAGCATACCTCAACCGATCCATCATCTGTCTCTGTATGGTTGGAATGTATTTGATACGGGTGTTGTACTGTAATACGAATACTGCATAGCAGCAATTATAGCACGTGACCACGTGGCGCGTCGCGAGCGCGTCCAGAGAAGATCATCCATCCATCCATCCTATCCATCCATCCCACTCGCATGCCATCCACACCCTCTTTACATACAACCTGAGCCCGCCTGGACACACCACACGCCACATATCCATATCCATATCCATATCCACATCCACATCCACATCCACATCCACATCCATATCCACACCAAACCCCCCGCAACGATGTCTCCCTCGGCGGAAACCCTCCCCTCCCCCCCAACCACGACAACCACGACAACCACCCCCATGACCCCACCCACGAAGAACATCAATACCTCAACCTAATCCGCACGATCCTCAGCAACGGCGAACACCGTCCAGACCGCACCGGGACAGGAACACGCTCGATCTTCGCGCCCCCGCAACTAACCTTCTCCCTCTCGAAGCCGGACCCCAACAACCCCACCTCCCGCATCCCCGTCCTCCCCCTCCTGACCACCAAACGGGTCTTCCTGCGCGCCGTCCTCGCCGAACTCCTCTGGTTCATCTCCGGCACCACCACCTCCGCGCCCCTCTCGGCCGCCGGCATAAAGATCTGGGACGGCAACGGCTCCCGCGCCTACCTGGACAGCGTGGGCCTGTCGCATCGCGCAGAGGGCGATCTCGGCCCCGTGTACGGGTTCCAGTGGCGGCATTTCGGCGCCGAATATGTCGATGCCGCCACCGATTATACCGGTCAGGGGGTGGATCAGCTGGCTGACGTCGTGCATAAGCTGAAGACCAATCCCTACGATCGCCGCATTATCATGAGTGCCTGGAATCCCGCCGATTTGAAGAAGATGGCCCTTCCGCCGTGTCACATGTTTGCCCAGTTTTATGTCTCGTACCCTGAGAAGGGGGCCAAGGGCCATCTGCATTGCTTGATGTATCAGAGGAGTGCCGATATGGGGCTCGGCGTGCCGTTTAATATTGCGTCTTATGCCCTGTTGACTCATATGGTGGCTCATGCCGTGGATATGGTGCCCGGCTCGTTTGTGCATACCCTCGGTGATGCGCATGTTTATGTTGATCATGTGGAGGCCCTGCAGGAGCAGGTGACGAGGGAGCCGACGGCGTTTCCTGAGTTGAGGATTAAGAGGGCGGATCGTGGCGAGGGCGTGGTGGATGGCTGGAAGGAGGAGGATTTCGAGGTCGTGGGCTATAACCCGCACAAGGCGATTAAGATGAAGATGAGTGTTTAGATTAGTTAACTATCTGTTTATTAGATTAGAAAATTCTCGCTGCGCTATGCGCTAGATGCACCCACCCCCTCCTTCCACAACATTCTCAAAATGATATGATCAGATCAGATAGAAAGAAAAAAAAGGGAAAAGAAATAAATCCAATCAAAGAATCACCCCCGCCCCCCTCAACAACACCACCGTATCCCCGGACTTGACCCTCTCGCCCACCGCATCCCCAAACCCCAAAAACTCGCCCGACTCGACATGAAACACCCGCAACCGCGCCTCCTCGCCTCCGCCCCGATTATTCACATTCTCGACCTGCAGCCGCCGCGCCGCATCGTCCAGCACCCGTCCCACCTTCCACCGCCCATCGAACCAGAACTCCCCCCGCGGGGGATCCGCCATGTTGGTCTCGGACGTCCCCACGACGGAGAGGTAGATGCGTCGGTCGGGAGGGGTGCCAGGGTCGCCTTTGGCGGTCTTCTTCATCGCGTTGACGGTCGCTAGTCGACTCGCGGGCTTCTTACTCCCGGATGTGGATGTGGATGTGGATGTGGTGGAGGAAAGAGCGGTACTCTTCTCCTTTCCCCACGTGCGCACCTTCGCGAACATCGATTTCAGCGTCTCGGCCCCCCCTGCTGCACCCCCTGCGGCGGCGCTATTATTCCTGGCATTGACAGGCCGACACTCATGTCCCTCCCTCAGCCGATGCCGGAGACAATAACTCCGTCTACACTCCGGACACCGCACCCCCGGGTCCGTCAGCGTGTGGATGAGCGTCTTGCACGATAGCTCCGCGCACTGCTCGCTGTTGTAAATTGTGGGCTTTTCTGTCGCCCCGCTGCCGCTGCCGCTGCCGCTGGTGCTGGTGCTGTGTGGCGACGAGCTGCGATTCTGTTGCTGCTGGACGCGCGCCCATTCCCCTGCCCGCGGACATTTATGCGCGGTTTCGCTGCGGTGGTCCAGGCAGAAGGTCGCTTTGCAGGAGGAGCATCGGAAGGGGAGGAAGTCGAGTACGTTGCAGTAGGGGAGGGCGCAGTGGCGGCCGATGCTGTCCAGGTCGGTTTCGGGGGGTTCGGTCGGGGGCGAGGCGTCTTTTTGGGGGGTGGAGGTGGAGGTGTTGTTGGAGTTGGGGAGGGTGAGCGATATGGGGGACATGGTTGGGTTGGTGGTGTTGCTAGAGTGACGGTGGTGACGGTGGTGTGGTTCTTTTTATTGTGGTGATGTGGTGATGTGGTGTGTACTGTGTGCTGTGTACTGTGTACTGTGGCGGGGAGGCGGAGGTTATGACTGAGTAATTCGTTCTGGCGGATGCTGGAAGCGCCTGGCAACTTGGCGGCGGCGGAGCGGAGAACCCATGACTCAGCGTGGCGGTGCGGCCGCCCTTATCTGATGCGGAGATTACTCGGAGATAACAACATATCTGTACCGCTACGAGTCATCCGGACGGAAAATGTTTTCAAAAGAATCATCGAATACGGCTGGAAAGTATTTGCGACACGGACAAGTGGAACTTCATTAAAAACGACATAGGAACATACTAAAGACTCCAACACGAGGGGTATATCAAACAGGAAATACGCGGCCACGGCGAATGAACCAAATGGAATGAATAATACATCGGGTGCACCAGTTGCAAAACACCAATCAGGTCAGTCAGACAAATCAAATCATGCTCCACTCTGCCCTTGACGCTCTCGACGGGCATCGTGTTCTGTGCCCTGCATCCCAGGAGCAGCAGCACGGGCAAAGGGGATCGGCCCGCTCGACATCATCACCGGCAGTCCAGCGCGCGCCTGCGTGGTCGTGGTCGGGGCATACAGCGCAGACTGCGGGCGGTCGCCCTTCGGTCCATCTGCTGGTGTCAGCGGCGGAGAGGCCATGGCTGAAGCTGGATCGCGTGGTTCTCCAGGCTGCTTCCAGCCGTTCTCCGTAGCGGGCCCCTTTGCCACGGCCGACGGAGGCGACGATGTCACTGGCGTCGCCGCCGAGCTGGATGGTCTGCGGGCTTTGACCTCCCCTGCTCCCAAAGCAGAACGGGCCGCCGCTTTGGAAGAGGCTGGCAACGCCCGACTGGCCGGCCTTTTTGGGAGGCTCGCCGTCTTGGACACTGCCTTGGAGGCTGCGCGTTTGCTTTCTTCTGCCGCTCGTCTCGCCCGCTCTCGCGCCGCATTCTCTTCAGGTGACGGGACATTCAGTTTAATGTGGAGTTTTCGTACCCCGGCTGCCAGAGTATCCACGTCATCCTGCGCCCCGACGCCGCCTGCCGGTGCATTGGCCTTCCCCGCAGACTCCGCGGGCAGGAAGGCACTCGGGACTTGGGGCACAGGAGGTGCGTTGCTCGGACTCGGGAGTTTGGGGGTGCTGGACCGAGAGGTAGATTTCCGCACAGTGATTGCGGCACTCGATGATGGCCGGGGGATCGGTTCTTTGGTCTGCCCCGTAGGTTCAGGGGTAGACCTGGCCGCTGAAGTAGCCCCCGCGCTCTTCCGGCGCGCCGGGCGCACTCCAGGCGACTGCTCCATCGGCGATCCTGACGCTTCCGGCGCGGCGTCGATAGTGGTCCTTCGACTGACCCGGGACACCGGGCGTTTGGGCGTCTCGGTTTTGGGCGACGCTGGCAGCGAGGGCTTGGGCTTTCGCACGCGGAGCTTCATCCGGCTCTCCTCCGGTGCCGTCGACCCGGGCTCCGGACTGTCCACGGCTGTGACGTTCTGGCGCTCTCGTCGCAGGCGCGAAGCCTCCGCGTTAAGCTCCTCCGGCCGACAGCTCACGGTCTGTCGGTGGGTTGGGATCAAAACCTTTGACAGCTCGTGTGCGGCAGTCGCCCAGCCGACCGATGGCAGCGGCAGCGGCAGTGGTGCTTCGTGTTCCACGCTGGAGTGGGAGCCTGTGGACTTGCGGTCGCGCGACGGATTGACCACTTTGGCGGAAAACGACTGCGTGGGTGCGAAGTAAGTCGGCGCGGCCTTCTCCCGGGGCTTGACGGGCGCCGCCGGCGGGTATACGAGGGCCTCTAATTCTTCCAGCAAGGCGAGCGACCACCACTGACTGTCGTATGTAGGCTCGGGATGGCTCATGGGTACAGTGTCGGATAGGCCGAGGCGATCGGTCATCTCAGAGGCCAGGCGGTCGACGGGCTCATCCACCCCATTCGCGCTGTTCCAGTCGCCCAGTCCGGACAGGTGGCTGAGAACACCACTGGTCAGCGCGCGATTGCTGTAGCCGCCCTCCAGGACGCTGATGATGCGCCCATCCGTCCCCAGACCTTCTTCGTTGGCCATGCGAACCACATCTGCGGTGAACTTGGCGTAGAACTCGGTCGGAACGTTCACCTGGTGGCGCTGCATGCCGGCGCCCTCCCACTCGCTCGCATCGAACCCAGCCGAGATGAAAATGGCGGCTTTGGGCGGAGGGCCGTTGGGCGTGCTGGCCAGGCGTTCCGTGTGCATGCGGAGAAACGCCCGCGCCTTGTCGATCAGCACGGCGTACTTGGCGGCGTACAGCTTCCAGAAGTCCGTTTCCGACTTCCACGGCTCCAGATGAACGTTCCAGATGGACTGCCCGTGGGCCTTATCGATGCACACGCTCGCGTTGCGCACCTTCTCCGGCTCGCCCATCTCACAGGGATAGGAGTTGATGTCGTGCAGGCTGAAATATCCGACCATGGCCTTCCGATAGGCTGCCGCATTTCGCGGTGCGGTCACGGCCTTGTGGTTTTGCTCCCAGGCAATATCCTGCGAGCCGTCTCCGTGATGGAGATCGAAATCGAGAATGGCGGCGTGGGTTAGCCCCTGGTTCATGGCCGCGTAGGAGATGCCCACGTGGACATTGTTGATCCAACAGAACCCCGATGGATGGCCCGAGGAGCAATGGTGGCCGGGCGGGCGGATGCAAACAAATGCGCGCTTCGTCGGACCCGGACCGAGAACAGCGTCCACGCCGTCACTGACTCCGCCCAGCGCTCCCTCAAATGCGTTCAACGATTCCGCGCACAGGTAGAGATCGCCTTCGTGAAAGGCAGGGGCATTGGCGGCGGCGGCACCGTCCTTGCCTGCGCTGCGGGGACGGGTCAGCTCCTTACCATTCAATGCCAGTCGCGATTCTGCCGCGTCGCACATGGACTTCAGCTCCTCCATCCACTTCGAGCCGTGAATATGCGTCACGGCAGGAGAGCTGAGCGGGAGCGTCCGCGTGGTCTTGCGAATCTGAAAGGGGGGGGCAGGCAGACGATTAGGGTCTAAGTCCGGGTGAGGAGCGAACCGGCCCCCCGCATGTCGGCGGGCGAGACGGACGTAGGCAGCGGCGATCCCCAGCACGCCGGCTTGAATGCGCTCCGGGCGTTCGACGATGGAGTTGAGCGCGGCTTTGGAGGCCCGGGGGCGCGAGAACCGATGGCCGTAACACGCATCGTGGACGAGCACCAACGTCTGGGACTGCAGGTCGGCGGATTGGTGCCAGTCCACCTCCTTTCGGAAATAGTCCGCTGCAATGGACGCGGCGGTGGGGGCCGGAAGCTCTGTGGTCGCAGCAAGGGGAGGCTTCTTGGCCGACATGTTGTGATGGGCAGCGGACGCGCTCGTGGGGGAGGTTCCGAACGTGGACGAGGAGGAGTGTCGGGACAAGCTGGGTCGGGGCGAGGTGGAGGCTCCTCGATTGGAACGCAGCGAGGCGGTGGATGAGCGCTTCTTCAGACTCGGGGAGTGCGAGGACCGGCGACGCTCGTCGCTCAGGGAGCTGGAACTGGGGATGCGACGGGGGGCGGGATGCGTTGGGTTCGCGACAACACGCGGCGCGGGGGGGTCGGAGGGCGATAACAACGAGGGCGTCGCGAGTCCCGGCGATAGTGGATGTGGGAGAGGTGTCGCATGCATAGAAGGATGGCTCAGGCGATGCTGCGATGAGGACGCGGAGCCAATGGATGCAGGGGGATCGGACGGGGTTGAAGTAGAAGTCGATGCAGCCGTGAATGACGCCGGATCATCGCGCTTGGAGGGGTCCATGTCGGGCGCATCGGGGATCGGGGAGGATTCCGGGGCAGTGAATGGGCGGTGGTGAATTGAGGGTAGGAGCGTCTGACGTGTCCTAGAGAATGCAAGAAAGAAAGTGAATCGAGGAGAGAGGAGAGGAGAGATGGGAGAGATCCTTAGGAAGGGGAAGGGGAGAGAAGCCGAGGAAAGGGAGGAGGAGGAGGAGCAGCAGCCTTAAGGCCAAACAGGGAGCGGGCGGATCTTCCCTTCCCCTCATTCTGGTCCACCGATCAGGGGTCTTTCTTTCCCTCCTGTACACCTGTACTCCTACTACTACAACTACTGCACTCTTTGGGCTTCCAATCTCAAGTCTCCATTTCTATTCTCGTCCCTTCCGACTGAATAACCCACACCCAAGTGGATCCCCCATATGGCCATCCTTCCTCCAATCCCTCCAATCCCTCCGATCGCTCCGATCGGTTCAGATCGATAAGAAACCCAGATAGATAGACAGACAGACCAGCCCTAAGAAGCCAAATAAGAGCCACACTGAACACCACATATGAAAGCCTCGCAGGGCCAAATCCAAATCAAATCAATCACCCTGTCCGCCCGAAAATAAACGCCGCGTCCCTCCCGTCCCAATAATAGCAGTGAAAACTCCATGCCTTTCCAAGACAGAACGCCGTGCTGATCCCCCAAGACAAAGGAAAAGAAAACCTAACGAATGCAATGCGATCTGAGACAGCCGCCCAGCGAAAATGAAACAAGATCTTCACCACACGCACCCCCCAGTGAAGGCCGCTACCAGGTCCGCGACCGGAGCGAGAAGCGATACCATTTCTTCTTCGGCGGGGCGAGGAGACTCTTCTCGTCTAGGCTGAGCGTCGACAGGCGCTTCCGCTCCATCTTGCGCTCCAACTTCCGCGTCTTCTTCTCCGACTTGAAGCCGCGGGTGGCATGGCCGTGGCAGAAGCAGTGCATGTGGACCACGTCGATGGCCATGTTCGAGCAGTAGTCGTTCTCGTTGCGCTCCGAGCAGAGCTGTTGGCCGGCGTCTTGTTCGCACCGGCACCATTCATAGACCATGAAGTATTGGCGACACATGGTGGGCTGGTATGGTGTGGGATGAGGGTGGTGGAGAGAGTGTGGGAAATACAAGGAAATCTCTCGACAAGGGCAAAAAAAAAATCGATGCAAATTCCCGAAAGTTAAATGCCTAAGGTCGTTGCAAAGAAGGGCTTCGGTTTGTGCCCAAAATGAGTAATCGAGTCGGTGTGGATATGCTGCCGCGGGCTTCCGGTGATGCAATTGAGGGTTGCGGCGAGGTGAGTGGATGGAGGGGGGCCGTTGGGATGTGGTTCGTGCCAGTTGGATTGGGGTTGGTTGACACTGCTGTCAAAGCAGGTGGTCTTGTAATTTTCGGGGTCGAAGGGGGGGGGGGTTTGTTCTGTCTTCAGAATCGGCCGTTTGATCGTAACTTGTTCAGCAGGAGATTCGGGGGTGAGGGAGGGCAGGAAGCATAAGAGTATAAGTAGGATAGGGCATTTGGGGGGCGGTTCCCCGGGTCTGGTTCTGGTCTGGACGGGGCGGATCTGATGATGTATGAACCTTATGGTGGTTGGCCGGTTGGCTGGATGGGATCTGCTCGGATCTGATAATGACGCACTCCAACGCAGCAGGGGTTGATCAGACTGTCGCCAGGACGGTCTGTCGGGTCCGTGGTCTCGTCGTCGCTTGGGTGAAAGACCCCCCGATTGATCAATGCAAGTCACGGCGGCGTCTCGCAAGGAGGGGAGATGAGATGGGAGAGAACAAAGTACAAAGTGAAAGACAATGCACGAGGACGAAAGAGGGGAGTAAATTTAGACCCTCGAGTCGGTCAGGGAGGGCAAGGGGGGGGGGGGGGGGGGTGTTGAAGTGGAGTCCTGAAAGTAAAAAGAGACCCAGTGCATGAATGAATGAATGAATGAATAATTGACAGGCCAAATGAGGCATGAATGGACGAATGGCCGTCTGCTGGGACTCAACACAAGAAAAGACAATGCAGCAAATCAATGAATGAGACTGCATGAAGGAGTGTTTGACGTCAGCTCAAAGCGCTGGAGTGGAGTTCGGCGTCAAAAGAGTGAGGTTGAATGCAAGATGGATGGATGGCAGTGCGACAAGGATGCATCGGATGTAACTGCAGCTGCTGCTCCCGCTGACCTGCCCTTTCTGCTTCTGCTTCTACACTAACTAAATAGCCCATCCGCTACTTTGCTACGTACTCCCCCCTCCTCTGGCTTGGTCCAACCGGATAGGAGCTTCCTGGGCCTTTTTCTGGTGCGCGCTCGGATCCGCGGCTTTCAGCATCACCCAATACCACCTTCAGTCTCCGTACCGAGGGGAAGAAAGAATTTTTTTCTAAAAAAAAAAAAAAAAAAAAAAATATCGGATGTCTCGGGCGTGCACAGCTGAAAGAGACGAGCCAGGGGCCCAGGGGTTGTGGCAGTGGTTCCTTCTTCAGGGGATGATGGATGGAAGGCCCCGTCCGGAAGGGCCAGGAAGAAGAAAGAGACCAGGCATCTCTATTATTTCTCACCCGGTCGGACATAATAAGCACGGGCTGGGCGGGGGGAGGGGGGATCCAGTGTCCATGTGGTTTAGGAGTGGTGCTAGAGCAGCGACTACCGTGACTAATATGGCGACAACAGCTCCTCCCAAGACGAGATGTGCTCGACTACTGGCGGCATGGTGATAGTGGATGGAGCAGATGGAAATTGGCTGGAGACGGCGGTGGGCTTGGCTTCCGGATGGTGGCAGCCTGTGACAGCCCCGGCGGCTCTGGAAGCCGAAACGGGCGTCTAGAGCTTAGAGCCATCCATCTGCCGAGAAATTGAAAGACAGGGGGGGGGAGGGGAGGATGTGTTGCGTGATGGGATAGATGACATCAAAGAGTGGTGATGATGATGATGATGATGATGATGATGATGATGATGATGATGATGACAACAGAAGAACAATCGAACCTGATGGTAGTGAAGTGATAGTCACCCAGAAGAATGGTTCGTGGCTGATCCCCTGCAGAATGACGAAAGCAGTTTTGCCGCTTCCCGGGGAAACTGTACTTTTACTACTACTATCCAAGTCACCATCCGCTTCAGGACTAGTCTCTACTTAGTCATTCACGTGCGCACGTCCCGGAACCAATTGAGCCGATCTCCCGTGTCACGTGTGTGCTAGTCCCGGGCCGGCTAGCGCGGACCGCGGCATCGGCGATTCGATCGGGCCATCAACTTGTTTTATTATTATGAATGATTTTGGATAACTACTACCTACTAAACTACTCCGTACTACTAAGCAGTGAATCACCAACTGCCCCCCTCCACCATCCACCATGACCACTCAAATCCCCCTCTCCTGCCCCTCGCGCACCTCCATCCTTCTTTCCAACCTCGCCTCCGTCACCGTCCGAGTCACCACCGCCGCCACCGCCGCCTCCAACCCCTCCAACCCCTCCTCACCCACGACCCCGCGCCTGGTCGCCGTCTCCAAACTCAAGCCCGCCTCCGACATCCTCACCCTCCACCAACCGCCGGCCTCCCACATCCACTTCGGCGAGAACTACCAGCAAGAACTGACCGAAAAGTCACGCCTACTCCCCCCAACCATCAAATGGCACTTCATCGGCGGGCTGCAGTCGAATAAATGCGTGGCGCTGGCGCGCGAAGTCCGCGGCCTATGGGCCGTCGAGAGCGTCGACTCAGAGAAGAAGGCGTCTTTGCTGGATCGCGGCTGGGGGGAGCGCAGTGAGGAGGTCCGCGCCACGAACCATGAGGAGCGGCTGCGCGTCTTCGTGCAGGTGAATACCTCCGGCGAGGAGAACAAGTCCGGTGTCGAGCCGAAGAAGGCGACCGAGCTGTGTGCGTTTATCAGGGAGAAGTGCCCCCGGCTGAGGTTGCAGGGTGTTATGACCATCGGGGCGATTGCGAGGTCGAGGGCGACGACGGCCGAGAATGAGAATGAGGATTTTGCTTGTCTGAAGGAGACGAGGGATCGTGTGGTTGCCGACTTGGCGTTGGTTGGGGAGGAGGCGGGCTTGGAGTTGAGTATGGGGATGAGTGAGGACTTTGAGGGCGCGATTGCCCTTGGCAGTGATCAGGTCCGCGTGGGAACTACCATTTTCGGGGAGAGGCCGCCCAAGGATCAGGCCAAGGTGGTGTGAGGGGTGAGGGGTCGGATGGGTCTTGTTGGTTGATGTTACGAGTCACGACAGCCAAGGTTGCATTACAGGGGTGGGTGGAACAGGGGTATAAAGGGAAACGGTACCCCCGTCGCCGGATTACAATGGCCTTTGTTGGGTTGGGGTTGTCAGACAGCGCTGCCTGTACATTATTAAACCGCATGTCCGTGGTATATACGTGGTCGATCCCGATAATAAATACACCCCCGTCTACCGGCCGATAGCGGAGTAAGAAGAACGGAACACGATCATCCAGTGCGTTCCGCCGGGGTACATGAGGCAATGATCCTTTCGTCCCGTCACCGTCCACTGTCCGACAGCGCGCCCTGCGACAGTCTCGACTCCATCTGCTTTGCCAGCGCCAGTGGTACCGCTTCCTGGGTGGCGCGGATGGTGATCCGATACATCTAAGCCAATGTCTTGTCAGCGTCGGTCCCAAGGCATGCTGCGTCGAGGTCATGCTTACCCGTCGGTCATAGTTGGGCTCCAGTCGCAGGAGACAGCCCGTCTTACCCCCCGTAAACTGGAACACGGCGCAGCCCACAATGTTCGTGGGATTCGGGTCCACGCCGTCCATGATCTTCCAGCCAAATCCTTCCACCACCCGCCGCGTGAACGATTCGCTGATGTCTTTGGCCCGCGTCGTGGCCCCGAACGTATTCTGCGACTCCAGCGGGCCCCCGCCGATCTGCCGCCACCGCTTGAAGAAATCTTCCGCCGACAGGGACGATGGCTCCATGTACCGGTGCATGCTGATGGGGAGCTGCAGGGTGTACGCCTGTAGCGCTCCCGCGAGATAGGAGATGCGGATCGTGGGCGCCTCCGTGAACGGCCCGTGCGCTTCGACCAACAGCGTCTGCTGCGTCTGGCCTACGGCAGGCACAGACGGCTCCGGCAGACTCTTCGTGTCGATCTTCAAGTTCGGAGCCGAGGGATTATCCAGCGTCGTGGTGAGGGACCCGATCGGGTAGGACGACTTGTTCGAGATGTAGATCTTGACGACGCCCATGTGCCCACGGTATTCGGACCGCAGTCCGACCTGGATCTGCGCATCTTCGAACAGCACGCCTTCACCACCAAAGTATAATCGGTTGTAACCGATATCCCAATCAGGAGTCAGGTGGGCCGCGCTGGCCATATTCGGCGCAGGTGCGGCGGCCACGCTAAGATCCAGACCCGCCAGGTCGCCCGACGAGCCCGACGGTGCTGCCGTTCCATTTGCCCCGGTCTTCGTACCGTTGACAATTGTCGTGAAGCTACGCTTCAGCCCGGTGTTCTGCGCCATCAGCATCTCCTGCTGGTCTGTATTCGCATCCTTGCCGCCCACCACCCACGTCTTCTTCTCCGTGGTGCCGGCGGTCCTCTGGTGCAGCCGCGACAATAAGATAGACGCTCGTTCCGAGAAGGGTGGCATCTCGTCGCAGACCGTCCGGAGTAGGTCGTCGGTGGGAAGCGTCGCCAGCGACAGGTATTCAAAAGCACGCTGCTGTAATTCGGAATCAGGGGAGTGGCTGTACAAACGGAATATATGCAGGAGTTGGGGTTTGATCTCGGGGAACAGGTTGACAAATTTGACGAAGGACGACAGGATCATCGCCCGGGTGTTGTCCGTGCTGGTAATCATCTTCGCCTGCAGCGCCAGGAATTGCTCAATGGGACTGGAGCCTTGGCTTTCGGCGATCAGATGTCCAAACTCGCCCAGAACATAGCATCCAATCTTCACCAAGCTCTCGTGGCAGTCTGTCTTCAAATAACCGAGGAGATTGTGCGCGGCGTATGCCTGCAATTCCTCATTGTTGGTCACGATCTGAATCACTCGTTGCCACACTTCGTCGTTCACATGATCACCAGCCAGCGACAAGAGCTTCAGAGTCATGTCAATGTACCACTGGGCGTCGGTCGCATATTTTTCGGTGAGGATAGCCACCTTCAACACCATCTCTTCCCGAATAGCGTAGTCGGCCGTTTGTAGGTAGCGGAGCAGCTCGTTCACAATCGGGCCAGCGTTGGTCGTGTCGCACATGCTGTAAACCAAGTCCAACCCCTTGCGCCGAACGCTGATGTCCCGGTCTCGAAGTGACCCTAGGATGATGTTCTGATGCTTCTTGATGGGATCGAGAGTCTCAGCCCGCGCCGCGAAATGTGTCATTGCCTCCAGACCCAGGTAGCGGACGTTCGTCTCCCGCGACTGGATATACTTCCCCAGGCGAGTGGATATTTGCAGCATGAGGCTGTGCTCGGTGTCGAGGTGGATGAGCAGGTTGATCGCCTCGAAAAGCACTGCATTTTGGGCGTTGTTCTGCTGGACATTCTTGGGCGTGTCCATGGCCAGGTGCATTATCTGTTGCAGAGACTCGCGGATAATCTCGCGGACATGGCTGTCCTCTGCGGCGAGCGGGTCAGCTCCACATGTAAAATCAGAGAGTACACCAGAGCTTACCTGCAGGTGGGTAGTACTGCAGCAAACGCAGCAACTTCACCTGGATCCAGGGACACGGCACCCGGTAGTAGAGATAATCGGGCGCAATGTCGTTGTCGACCACGACCCTTTTCAGCCGATGTGCGGCCTTCACATAGCACCCTTTATACTCGTCGGGCTTGTCCTGGGCCAACGCCATGACGAGCGAGGTGACCGATAGCGTGACACCCATATCGGGGTCATCCATCAGGGAGATTATCCGTTCCGCCCATTCGTTCTGTACGATGCCGGGGTATTTGCGATACAACCGAAGGAGGGTCAGGGCGGCCTTCTTCTTGACGAAGGCCTTGGAGGTACTATGAAACGATTAGCCAGTCCCAACCGAACGAAAGTCCGGTCCACAGAGCCACTCACGGGGAAATAAGCAGCCGGTGGACATCCATCGAGAGCGCCTCGCCCATCTCCCGTCCACCGACGTTGGCCACCGCATGCAGCGCCAAGCAGTTGTTCAGCTCATTGTGATCCAGCAGGTCCTTCCGTATACTGTTGACAACAAGGTGGAGCAGCTCGTGCTGCTCATGCAGGAACAGGGTCACTGCCAGGTACCCGATCTGCTTTTCGGAATATTTGGGGGAGGAGACCAGATTGACGGCCTCGAGGTGGCCGAAATCGACATCGTATCCCTGAATGTACACGTAGAGCAGCTTGCACACGTACTTCTTCTTCTGGTACCCGTTCAGACTGCCCCCCTTGAATTTCTGGCGGATGTTGGCCAGTTCCTTGTTCACCCGCTTCTCTTCCAGTTCGCGCGCTCTTGCATTTCGCAGGTCGGCAATGAACTGAACCAAGCCTCGCATGGACGACATGTTGATCGACGTTGCATATGTTGATTAGGACGATTCGAATAGATTAGTAGAGGGATATGAATAGGCGTTGTTGCTCCGAGGCGAGCTGTAGATCGGGCAAATGCGTTGTCGTTCCTGTTCCGAGGCTCTCTCAGACTTGAAGGTAAAGCGCAGACACCACGCCCGTGGAATTCACTTAGCGAGACTGCGTCATACAACCATGTCCAGACTAAACGGTTGTTTATTTCTTTGCCAGTCCGATGGAATCGTTAGGGCGCATTCAACATGGCGCAAACGCAGTAGAAAATGAGTGAGCCGAGATCTGGAGGAGGGGGAAGAGGGGGGGTTCGGGAGCGCGCGCGACAGGGGGTGAGACTGTCTATTGAGAGATTGGGGGCGATCTAGGCAGCTGGGGGGTCCAGAAAACCGCGATACTCTGGGGGAGAGACTCCAACGTCCGAGAGAAGCTCTCACTATGGCGTGGGAGGAATAGAGAGGGACAAATGGGGGTTGGAATAGGAGGAGTGGCAGCAGCAGCAACCGGAAGCAGGAGAGACTCTCGCCGGGAGCGAAACACCGCCTCAGCCACTTCCGCGGCCGATCCGGCGGAGATCGGGAACAACGTTGATGCGGCGTGGCGGTGCACGGCATGGCATTGGACCCCGACCCTGGCGACCCTTGCAAGTTGCAACTCCAACTTAGAGTGCTGACATTCCAGATCAACAATCAATGACGGTGGGTTACAGACGAGACGCTTAGTAACGTATATCGATATACAGTGTAAAGCTTTTGTCAATTTGACCATAGTATCATTCAATTATTTGAAAGTATCATCTCGATTTTCCCACCCTATACAATGCTCATGGTAACAATGTAGCCCCAATCCCGATATCAAAAAACCCACACAACCGAGGAAGCAGATCTAGTAGCCTGAACATCCGTCAAACTCCAGAAAGAACACCAGTCCCTATAAAGTACACGTGCCACATAAAAGCAAGCCAGAGGCAGAAGGTAATCTTACCCCCCCTCCCCCCCGGGCCCAAAGAAGAGTCATCTAAGCACGGGTAGTGAAGTCGGTTTCGAGGTGGTCAACCGCCGCATCCACAGCGCCGGCCTTCTCACAGGTACAAGAAGCTAGATTCACATGTTAGTCCAGGTTTCGTCTCAGCTATTGCGTTGCCTGGGAAGGACTCACATTCGGGCCTCTTGCCGCAGGGGCAGGCATCGCCTGTTACGGGGTTGTTCTCGCTGACGGAACGCTCACAGGTGCATTGGCCGGCCGGGCGAGCTCCTGGGGATGGTATCAATATTTGGAATCAAGATGCGGAATCGATCGCCCACTCAAGAGGAGGACTGGACTTACGGCATGAGCATCGAGCTCCCGCAACGGTGTTCTCGCTGGATGCCTTGTTGCACGTGCAGTGGAGGGCGTTCTCCTTGCCGCAGGAGCACTTGGCCTGGGCGGCGCAGACACAGCTCCCGTCACCGGAGGTCTTGCAGCAGGTGGAAGGGTGAACCATATTGACGGATTGATTGTTGGAGCTGGAAAGTAGTTAAAGGTCCGATATGACGTAATCAACAGTGTCAACAGTTCCGGGCGGATGAGAGATCTGATCGGTTTGGTAGATTGGAATGCTCCGAACGGCACAGGAAGTAGTCTAGATGGGGTCTTGAAAGTACGATTCAGGCAGTGAGAGATGGAGGAGGAATGCTGGATTGAAGCCGATACTTATACTTCGTGCTGAGCCGCGACGATTGGCAATGCCCGCGCTCTGATTGGCCGGGGCGGAGGCGGTCGAAAGCTGCTGCGCATTTGCACGGCGGCTGATTGGCCGAGACGGTCGGGGGGGGGGATGCAGGGCCAGGCAACTCACGTCGCTGTGGTTGGTAATCCTCGACGCTGGACAGGCCTGGGGAGAGGCCCTGGAGAGGCAGTGCTGCTCTTGCTGACCATCGAGACTCGTCGTGGTTACTATCTGGAGTCATGTCATTGGGTGGCTGGCTACCTATGATGACCTATGGCGACCTATGGCCCTCCCGAGCCCTAGTTGAGTCAGTCCACCGGGCCAAGGCTGTCACGAGTGGCACTCCTCCAGCTGCGATCGACATACATGCTTTCTGTGCACAGCGGGGATCAAGAACCGAAAAGTTATGTATGGCTTTAAAAATTATTCACTAGAATGTAATATCCATATACACACAACAACCCCAGGTCACAGGAGCCTCCCGAATTAAGAACAAGAAAGAAACAGGCTGATACAGGCCAAACCAAAGCTGAGAAAGGGCAAAGTCCGCTCACAGGACCGCAAGGAGATGAGAAAGCAAATGCCAGGAAACCCACCAGACAGAAAGAAGACGCCATGCAATGTCCCGGCCCAGAATAGCTGATTTTGCAAATGCACACTCGCCCTCCGCCCTCCCCCTCGGGGGATGTTACATGCAAGGAAACCGGAGGGGTTGGAAGGAACAAGGGAAATGATCAAAAATTAGGGAAACTTAGTTGGAAACCTCGGCCGGATCAGGATGTCGGCATGTCCAATGCAAGCCGGGAGGGGGAAGAAAAAAAAATGCAGACACTCCCGGCTGATTAAAATGAATATAGAGTTCCGTGAAGATTAGGATATGCAGGGCGGTGGAGAAGAAGGGGCGCTTCCAGGGGTCCTAGCGACCTTTGAATTATAGGTAGTTCGCATATTCAAATGTTTGGTTGCCGAACTTGGCCCTCAGCGGGTCGATGAGTTGTGGCGGAGGGTGGTTCATGCGGTCCTCGGCCGACGTGACCACAGGCCCCTGGGAGACGCTGTTCGAATCGGAAGGAAGAGAAGCGGGGAGGCTCATGCTGGAAGCATTGGGATGGGAGTAAGGCATCGCATGGCTCATACTGTAGGGGTGGTGGTCATACGAGTAGGGCCGGTAGTCGGGTGCTTCCGAAACCGGCACGGAATGCATCGCTGGTATCTGCCGTCCCTGTTGCTGGATGTGAGGGTTGATTTCCATGCCCGCATATCCCTTGGGGCCGGCATTGCCAGCGAGGACTGGTAATTGTGTATTTGCTGGTCTGGTGGTTCCGACTGTTAGCGCGTGGTCACCATAAAACCGTGGGGGGGACGTACGGTGATTCTCCACATTGTACTGGACTGGCTGGTCTGGCGGCCCTGTGGGTGACACCGATCCCTCCATGGCTCGTTGGTGATCATAGCCAACAACCAGGCCATTGGCTGGCCGATTCAACCCGTAGTCTACCGGACGTCGAGCATACGCCATGCTGGGATGACCCAGTGACTCCACACCAGGCCTCGAAAATTGTCCGGGGAAGTGGAGTCCACGGTTGTAGGTCTCCGAGAAGCTGCTCGATCTCGGGAAGGGGAAAGCGCTGCGATTGTTCCGGTGAATGTCTGAGAGGGGAGCTGGTCCAGCTCTAGCCGGCATGCCAGCCTGGGGGTAGTTTTCGAAATGCCTGTCCACAGCCGATGAGAAGTTCCCTGTCGTCGAGGCCGAGCTCAGTGGCGAAATCACATAGTCATCGTCGTTCAGTCGGGGCAGTCCATCAGTGAGGAGCATCTTCAAAGAATTAGAAGCGATATTATGTGCCAGAGGGGTTTCGGGGGACGCAACTGGTGCCTCTGATGACGTTTTATGGTCGAAGGGGGTGCGTAAAACCTGAGTGGTATCGAAGTCATCTGGCAACGCTCGTGATTTCAGTATGCGCTCTCGGTCATTGCTTGTAAGTCGCTTGAGCTTTGCTCGTCTAGAAAACAAGTGTCAGTAGAGATCCAGCAGTGACTTCCCCGAGCGGCAGTGGCTGTAAGTACCTGTTCTGGAACCAGACTTGGACCTGGCGCGGGGTCAACCCCGGAATCTCCTTCGATAGTCTCTCGCGGTGCGAAGCATCGGGATGAGCCTGGCGAGTGAACTCGCTCATCAAAAAGCGAGTTTGGTTATGGGTCAATCTGCCAAAGATCGTCAGCGGTGACACAACGGCATTGTTGGTTTGAGGCTTTGTCGAGCACCAACCGGAATCGTTTCATCTTCTTCTTTTCGCTTTTGGAATCCGATGACTGCTTCTTATCCCCGCCAACGGACGATTCCGCCCCATCATCGGAAGAGGCCATCGCGGCGTCGCTATTCTCCCGGTCTCTATCTTGCTGTTCTGCGGCTTCCCTGTCCTTAAGATCGGGCGTTCTCTGCTTCATGACCTGAGGACTGACTGTCCCTGGCGGCCGAGGGAAATGAGGGTCGCTGCGATCGATCTTTTCCAACTTCATACGTGATGTCGGGCTTTCCACCGGTTCTGTGATTCGACTTTCGGGATTTGGGAAAGATGCGGGTCCCCCAGCATGCTGGACTGGGCTCGACGTCCCCGCCGGAGCTACGGTTGTGAAGGCATTCTCAGCCTTCAGCGCAGCCGGCTGCATGTCGATGGAGGGCGGCTTTGCTGGCTCACTCTCCTTCTCCCACGACCCGGGCAGCCTGGGCGGCAAAGCCCTTGGTCTGGATGAGGCTTGGTCACTGTTCCAGGGTGCTGTCGACCAGTGACTCGTTATGGCAGGTAGATGTGAACCGGAAGGTGGCGACAACGAGGACAACCAGACACAGGGTCCGCTGAGTGACATGGTAGATGTGACACGGTTACACCATGTAAATATCACAACAATGCAGATCTAGCGCATACACCCTCAGAGGTGGGAGATTCGGCGCACTGCAGTTTAAATCTGGATGCAGATAGATAGATAGGTAGATAGAAGCTGCGACCAGGATCGCAGCCAAGGGAGAAGAGGGTGGGTCTGCACGAGCTGTCGGGGCGCTTGCTGAAGAAGCGCAGGATCTCCGAGCCGTGGACCGTGAGATGAAAGACGAAGAAAGGTAGAGAATAATAATAAGAAGAAGAACCCGGTGATCGGTCCTCTGCGAGAACCTGACCAAGGAGTAAGGGGATCGGGGGACAGGTGGACAGACGATGCAGGCAGTCCTGATAGTAGAAGGGGAGCAGTACCAGTGGTGGGCGAACCGCAACAGATGAACCACACTGCGGACCTTCTTTGGGATGTTCCCCTTGACTTGCCCCCGAAACGATAAAGGAGATTCTCGGCGTCCGCTAAGACCAACAACGAACGGCAAGAAATGAAAGTCGATCCCTCTGCTGGGTCCTGGGATACGGCCGGGGCGGGGGGGGGAGGCTACCGGACGGTGGGTAGAAGGTTATAGAGGAGATTAAACCGTGCTTAGCCCAACCCGGAAACAAAAGCACGATCACGGCAGTGGAAATAACGCAGGACGTTAGATGACAAGGCCCTGGTCACGGCCAGCCAGAGATCCACTTTCGAGTTGGCCACCCAAACCCAGAAGACCACCACAAGCACTACCGCCGGGGGGGGGGGGGGGGGGACAGGATGCTGCTGCTTGCTGCTCTTGCTGCAGAAGGGCACAGGGCACACGACGGGAGGGTTGGTCGGTGGACGAGGAAGTGCCCGAGGTCTGAAAGAACGAATGGCCTTCGGTCCTTGATACAGGGACTGGTTGCAAACGAGAGGAAGGTGCTTGATGCTAACGCGGAGGAACAAACTCAAAAAATAATGGGGGAATTAAGATAAAGGGAGGAACGAGTGTCAGAAAAAAACGGAATTAACCTGAACGGGTCACAGCTTGGAGGTTCGGTACACGGAGATCTCACACCATACTACAAGTGTCAACTGAAGGCCCCCCTCGGTGTACACATCCGTGGGATGGATATGGGGATGTTGGTCTTGCCCGGATGGAGTACCACAAGGCAGCAGAGAACTAGAAGAGAAAAAGAGGATTGAGGACAATGGGGGGGGGTGGAAGGGAAAGTGCCAGTGGAACAGGAACCTGGGCTAAGGACCGGGGATGATTCCAGGCTCAATGAGTCCCCCGTCCGGTGCGGTCGTAGATCCCCGTAACAGTAGTAGTAGTAGTCGTCGTAGTAGTAGTAGCGGGGCCTCCGGACTAGACACCAGCAGTAGCAGCAGCAGCAGGCGTAGTGACACTGAGGGAGGTCGTCACCGGACGGTCTGACCAACGAAGGAGCATAGGATGACCACGCTTCCAAGGCCAGTGTGCTCCGGACCAGGACTGCTGGGGAAAAACTAGGTACAACCTTTAACTTTACAATTTAAGGCTGCCGGTACCAAGGGTACGAAGCCTTCGATCTGATATGGGGGAGGCAAATAAGAATTGAAAAAAATAAATAAATAAATAAATAATAAAAAAAAATAAGAATAAGAATAAAAGTAAAAATAAAGAGACGGGAAGAGATCGAGTGCGGAATGGCCTGTGGATAATCGAAGGGCAGCACAGCTGCGCACGAGAGCAACGGTGGCGAATTGAGATCCCACGAAGCCCAGACAGACTGTGACGAACCCGGACAAGAACAACAGCCCTGTAAACGAAGGGTAAAGGGGAGGGGGGCGGGGACGTAGTTCATGATCGAGGTGCTTCTTCAGTCTAACGGGGTAGACGTCCCATACCCACGCAGGGTATAGTAAACTAAGTAAGTATGAAGTGGGCGAAACAGCCATCAACCGTTTCTAGTAACCCACATCCGGCACTCTCTATTGCTCGTAAAATTTCCGACGTGGAACCGGCAGCCCCGTCCCATTGCATCGCATCGTGCGGGTCATTGGAAGTCTGGGACGCTGAGAGTTCCCTAGCCCGAAACCCGCAGGCCATCCTGGTTGTCAGCCAACCGCCATCTGAAGGGTGAATAGACCCTGGTTGCCGGGGGCTGGAGTCCGTCCTGACTCATCCGAGACCACCGTCACTGGACAGAGGCGGCGGCAGTAGACACACCATGTGGAAGCCTGGAAGGCCTACCGACAGCGCTAGTCGGGCGTTGGCTCCATAATCCGCCGGACACCGGGCGTGGATCGAGCCAGAGGGATTAGGTTAGGAGCCACTTAGCGAACTACCCGCCACCATCCAGGGAAGACGTTCAGGTGATTTGTTGAAGACGCATAAGAACGTCCGAGCTGCTGGAAGCACTTTGGAGGGACAGAAAAGATAAACAGGGGGGTCGGGGATGATTTTATTATTAGGGGGGAGAGGTTGTTTAATCAACATCATGATAATTAGAAGGGAACGAAGCCCCGAGTAGGGCGATAGGACTGTCCCGAGGCGGTAAAAGAAGTGGAGACAGGCAGCAATGAGCATCGGTCATCTCATCTCATATGGGACACGATTGAGTGATGGTACTGGATAACCTGAGTGTCATCTCAGGTACCAGTGTGGATAGCGGAATACATAGGTACGGCGTACCCAAGATTGCCACAGTACGAAGCGATGCTACAACAGTTGATGGTCAGGAAGTGCATTTCCGCCGGTTCCACTGCACCAGGCGGCTGGACAAGACGGAGAACCGACGTCGTAAGTACGTAGGACGGATTATGGTACGTAGAGTTGTCGACAGCCCAGCAGCAGGAGTAACTTTGGAAGGGCCGACGGAGTACCTAGTATCTCGCAGGAGTCAGGACGTCCACGGACCGGCAGATGGGGCAGGTCAAGTTCGACCCTCTTAGCCCTAACCAGCCTAGGCGAAGTCAGATAGGCAGGGTTTGCGGAGAAAAATGCAGAGTTGTCTCCGAGTTTTCGAACCTCTTGCGGCCGAAGCGGCGCGGTACATGCGGCGAGCCTGCGACAGCCACGGTTAGCGTCAGGAGACTAGTTGCTAGGCCGGACTTTTAGGAGCGTTAGCCCTGGTCGGATCCTGACGAACGAGGCTGGAATGCAGCGGAAGGCGGGCCAGGGCCACCTAGCGGACCATGCACTAGGCAAGCAAGCTGAACGGACTCTGAACCGAGCGTGACGCTAAAGCAGTGCAGTCAACGGTCGTCGGGCGTGGCGGGCCTCATGTGCTCTCCACCGGGCAAAGAGGAGGGGAGGGGGGGGGGGGGGGGGGGGGGGAGGGGGACACCGGGACAGAAGGCGGATGGATGGGAAAAGTGGGATGTCCTCCTCCTGGGACTCCACTTGAGACGCTTGCATGAAACAGACCGGGTGATGTTCGGCAGGAAAGAGGAGGAGAGAGCGCCAGAAGGGGAGTCTGGTCGAGTCGGGGTGGATAGATAGATAGATGGGTAGATAGAAAGTAAGAAAGTAAACAGACAGAACAGACGCGCGGAGGATCTCTGACTCAGGAGAAGGGAGGAGGGAGGGAGGGAGAAAGTTGAGGTTTGACGTTCATGCAGTGGAAATGAAATGAGCGGCCAATAATACGGCCAGGTACGGCACTGGACCGCAGATACCCACAAATCACCTCACAATGGGACTGCTCCATCCATACCGATACAGGGCAGGTACCTTACAGTGCTTACACCCAGGAACGGAGGCGCGGCCGGAAAAAAAAAAAAAAAGGTGAGTATGATTGGTACTTACCAGGTGTACAGTTGCCAGACAGGATTTGTCGTGCAAGATGGAGTTTCTGTTGCAATTGTCTACCTTGGCTCATCACTACTTGGATTTTTCCTGACTGATATTGCCTTGCTGTCCCAAGATACAGAGTAGATAGGTGGAGTAAGTACTCCGTAGCTTCCATTGAATTGAAACAAAGTACAAAGTCGAACCAATCGAACGGGTGAAAACAACAGAAAAAGATTTCCATTCTAGGGAGAGATCTGATTGGTCTTTTGCAGAAGAGCTACGGGACGCGTTGATATTTTTCCCTTTCTTCCTATCAGAACACAGAGCGAAGAGAAAAACAGTAAAAAAAGATGAATAATAATCGGATCAGATGGGTAAGGCCAGAAGAATAACCCGAAAGAAAAACAAGGTAAGGCGACAAAAAGGCACCGCAGGGACACACACCCCCCTCTGGGACAGGGCGGCCTGTAGACCGACGGCCATTGAACGATTCCGACAGGTGGAAAAGCAGTGGGTGGGGGGGGCAGCCTTCCTTCCAAATTCCTGGTGTGCGCAACTAAGATAGAGCAGGGCGTGGCCATTGGCTAATGGTTATTCACGATAAATCGGACAACTTGACGGCAAGGCGACTATCAAGGACTGAGGTACTAGATACTGTCAAGTTGTCAACAGCCTGCCTCCAGGTATGTACAATGACGATTGTCAAGATGAAGGGTGAATGAAAGGTGGAAGAATGGGTGGTACGGAGTGAGTACGGAGTACACCATCAAGCAATCGCTTAAATTACTAGGTGCTACCTTAGATAGGTACTAAGGTACTCCGTACTACCTAGACACACAGCACAGTCCGGTACCTCGGTACTTACTTGGTACTACATGGGTACAGTATCAGAGGTGCTGCAATGGAAGCACAGGACGAGTTCATGCCATTAAACCTGTCAGTATCAAGATACTCCAGGTATGAGACCAAGACAACACTGGACAATGACAATGGAATACAATGACTCTATCATGAATGCGATCATCACAAGAAAGCGCACCCGCAGCATGATTCGGACGTGGCCACTGGGACGGTGCTTTGTAGATCATGTACAGAGTATCCAGGTATCTGTCTGTTCCTGACCTGTAATATGGGCCGTGAGCAACCTCCCACTCCGAGACCTGTGCCATTCTGTGCCGATCATCAAATTTCCCGATGATGATATGTGAGTGAGCCGGGACCCGGTGGAGTCAAGATGTACCACACCGAGGAATCCGTACCTACACTGTCACTGTAGGTAGGGCGCAGAGGTACGTACGGAGGACGGGGTACGCCGGAGTATTGGATACGTCCAAGTCCAGGCACCTTGCTGCGTGAGCATGAATGGATCATGATGGATGCATCCAATATTCCATCCATCCAGATTCAAGGACTGTATCGTCACTGCTATAGGCCGGGGCTTGACTGGCGGTAGCCAATCAATCGGTGGCAAAGACTGCAGAAGAGGCCGGACCCAAACAAGAAGGGTTGGAGGGGTTCGACTTCTACAGTTAGATACATACATACAATGTCCTTGTGTGCGTATGTATCTACCGTAGACTAACTACATGACGCGGTCAAGGAATGCCAGAAGAGTTTGCTTGCTGTGACTACGGAGTACCTACAGCAAATAACACAGTAGGTACATCCAAAGTACCCACGCGTACAGTAAGTAGTGTTCAGGGTACTCCCTATGGAGTGTACGTACTACTAAGTATATATATCAGAGGTTCCGAGGTGGGCGAGTGCGAACACTCGCCCGCAATCATGAACCCTCCCAGTATCCGTAGAATCTCCCCGAAAAAAAAAAAAAAAACAAACAAACAAACAAAGAAAAGCCGGGTCGGGCTTCGGCTCAATAACAATCATAATAGCCTCATCCAGACCCAACTTGTTAAACGCCTTTATCGTTGGAAGTTTGAACTACTCGATAGACCTCAACTACTGTAGTATACTGACACTCGAGAAGGTGTCTCGTGTTTCGAACCAATCTCCCGGATAGGAAGTTACCGAGGCAAGAAAAAAGAAGGGGGGAAATAACAAAATGAGATGAAATGCAATCTCTCGGAGCTCGCTTGAGCTCGGCTGCATCATCGAGGATCCCGTCCAGCACAGGAGGATAGGGAAGGGAAGGGAAGGGAAGGAGGTGAGTAGGACTTCGTTGGAGGAGTGGGTTTTCCTTTTCCCTCCCCATTCTCCGTTTCCTGCTCGTCGTCCGCTTTCCTTCTTCGATGGCCACACGGGGTACGGGGCCGTGGTAGGGATGTACCGTGTCAAGGTATGGAGTACCGGAGTAGATAGCAGACTAGACTAGCAGTACCGTCAACAACAGCAAGGGTGGAGACTTCTCCCTGATCTCGCAGCATCTCGGAAACCCAAGAGTGGATAACCAATCCATGGCATGATCCCTCACAGTCACTTCAGCACTACCGCAGGGTAGCAAGCATAGTAGTATCCAGTCATCCAGCCAGCCCACCACACCAGAAAGAAGCCTAGGTAGAAGATACCTAGGCGGTAGGAACGAAAAACAAATCTTCGGGCGGTGGATCAGAGGATCAGAGGAGGCCCAGGGAGGATCCCAGCTGAGCAACACCGCCGTGTAGGCTGTAGCAGGTTAGCAACGGTGCGGGGAAAGACGATCCCAAAGCAAATCGAGGCGATCGAGCGAACCGAGTGGATGTTGAGGAGATTGGGGAGGATCAACTTTAATCTCTCTGGCAAGGCTTCGCGTAATCGCGTCATGCCAAGTGGCGTCGCGGGCCCCTTCAATTTTACCTGGATCAGGGCGGGGAGTGCCTGTGCCTGTATTCTGTCGGTACTCTGGAGAGGAGTCGTGTAATATTCAGATCGGTCCGGATGGCGGGCTGGCAGAGATGGATCTCGGGTGATTCCTGATGCGAAGGAACGACCATCGGTGGGTAGATAGAGGAGACTAAGCGCCCATGCCTTTGCCCCTTCCAAGTTCCATTACGCAAGCCTCCGCGGGGGCCGCCGTCAAGTTTCAACCTCGAGTCCCCAGTGCCACCCCAAATGAAAATAAGACATTGATCGGGATGGGGTGGATCAGGAACGGCCTGAATATGGTGTTATTCACGGGGGAGGCTGAGTCGGAGGATCGCAAGGGACGAGAGACGGACTCATGCGAGAGAAGTCGATGCCTTGGAGACTTGGAGGGAGTGGATGATCGCACGGTCTGGATGTCAGGATGGATGGACCGACCGAAACGCGACTGAGACTTGGGCTGAGACTACCAAAGGCCGAGCCCGACCACATCCAAGAAACAAACAAAGGTCCCAACCGGCATATCCTATCTATCTATCTATCTACCTGTCTGTCGAGATACTGACTAGTTACACGCACGTTATCTAACCAACCTTCTTCTTCTTCTTTTCTCCTTCTGAAGCCTTCCATGGCCATGATTCCATTTCCATGGCTCCAGTGTGTTTGGTCCGTGCGGGTCATCGTCGGCTCACATGAAACACCGTCTACAACGGGAATCCATGGACCCGTTCATCGAGCATCCTTGGTCGTCAAAATCAGATTGTTCTGTTGTATGGAGGACTCCATACACGGCATGCCTACGGGGGACAACCTATCTACTCACCCACTCTTGATTCAATATGGCCGTTCCTGTCTGCATCCCCCTGAACTCCAGGTGGATGATTTACCTCCTCCCCTCTCTCGATATAAAGGAGGCCGGTATTAATCAAGACTTCATATAGACAGCGACGAGGGAACAGGAAGAAAAAAGGGGCTAGGGGTTGAGAGACATCAGAACAGAACAGATACCTCCCGTGGGTAGGTATCGGATGAAACCAGAATAGAAAGTTGATGTATCGACCATGCCTCTGGAGTAAGTAGTAAGTACTAGATAGATGCTAGATCCCACCACCAACATCGCTCGGGCGCAACTTCATCACAACCCCGGAAAGCCCCCTGGCGGCTATCTATGTTTCTCTCGATCCGATCATGATAGGTCTGGAGACAGCTGTCTTTAGATAGCTGAGGTAGATAGTAGTAGTAAGTAGCTACCACCTACCACCTACATCCCTCCGTCCATGCATGCATCGTCCGGAGTGCACTCCTTAGTCTCCATAACAGCGTCACCGTCGGGTCCGTGGAATTGGATGTACCGGCTCGATGGCTGGAAAGGATCGGATTCTCGATCCCTCCAGGACCCTGACAAGCGATACAGCCATACAGCTGGCTTCTCCCCGGGACTCCGTCACTTAATTTCACTAGCTGGAGCCATGTGGATGGGGTCTTACATTAATATTCATTTAAACATTGGCATTATCGTTCCGTTGAAACTCAGGGCGGTGGACTATATGCGCACTGGCCCCAGCCATGGCACTGCAATCTTGCATGACAGGTTTTTTTTATTAATGTTGATTGATTGATTTATTTGATTGTTTTCGAGGGGAAGCTGGCAAACCCTTCCGGGAACCCACCTTCCTGTCAAGCCTCTCGCGCGATAATGCTCCCCTTTCGACTCACTCCCGTCCTCTTTCTCGAACAACGGGACCGAGCTTGATGAAATTATGCAGGAACTCCCCAGTGTAATTAAAGTTGCTGATCACCGAGAGATTTCGTAGTTTAACCCTCTAGGACGCAAGAGGCATAGGGATCCATTGCGCTGTGCAGTACAGAGTGGCCGTCGAAGAGGTCCCAGGTGGGCTGCCTGCAGTTGTCCACACAACCTCGACCCCCTCGCGCACCCTGACTCAGAAGCCCCAGACAGGTACCCGGTCGCAGCCGCGGTGGATGCCTGGAGACCTTCAATTTCCGGTGGACGGCGCTATCTTGCAGCTCCCAGACTCCTCGCCTTTCTAACCCCCTCCCCTTAATACTCTGGCTGGCCCGGCACGTGCTTCCCACCCGCTGAACGTGTCAAAGTACCCCCTGAAGGATGACAGCGAACACTGGGGGAGAGGGGGTTGCTTTGCCCCGCCTGCAAACACAGAAAGGAGGGGCAGAAGAGGGCTAGCGAAGGAAGAAAAAAAAAAATTTTTTAAAAAAAAAAAAAAAAAAAAAGAGGAAGAGCCCGAACATGTGAGGGCCAACCATAGGGGATCACCGGCCTCACTGTCGCCACGAGCTAGGAGGAATGACTGGAAAAGGATAGGGTGGGAGTTGGTCATGCTGGGTGACAAAGTCAGGATGCAGGCCGGGCTTAGGGCAAGGCGCCCAAGAGGCCAATAAACTAGGCCACAATCCCCGCCGTAATCTCCCAGCTCCCCTCGTGACAGCCATCAATGTTGTGACCGCTTGTGGCTCCCTTCGTCCTGACTGGTAGAGATATCTACTAGGCCCAAGCAAATGCAACGCACTGGCTAGATAGAGCAAGGACTGTGGTGGCTCGGGCTCAGGCAGGCCATGCAAGGCGCTGCAAGGCATCTCGCTAGCGTCGTGATTGGGGTGCATACGGCCACAATTGCCGTCGAACACTGACCACTGCATCAGATCCAACGCAGGATCATAATCCGTCCGGGGCTTGGAGAGCGTCAAATCACTAGAACCAATCACGGTTACGCCTTATCCCCAATTACTGCTTTTTCACAGCACGACGCTAGGTGGCGTTCTTCACATTGTCTTGGTGTCCGGGGCAGCTGCGTCCTTCGCATCAGCGGAGGTCAGTGGGGTGGCAACAGTGGAGTTTCCATTTTCGAGGTTGGTAACTCCCCGATCTTGCTCCGGCCCCGTGGGTTCGCCATCCGTCGAGGGCTTCGTCGGGGCCTCGGAAGCCTGAGGCGTGCCTTCCAGCGTCTGGGGGGTGCTGTCTGATTGCTGGGCAGTCTCGAACAAAATCCTCATGTTTTTGCCGTCATCTATCTTATCAAAGGCCGCAAGCTTGCTTTTTGCAGAGAGTCGTAGTATGCGCCACGTCTTGCTCGCCTTGGATCGTATCGCGTACTCCTTATCCTCCTTCTTCTGGGCCATCTCGATATCCATCTCATCATCCATGATACTCATCATGAGAGAATCGGCAGCAGGGACAGAAAACCTTTGAAAATGTCAGACCCCAGCTAGCGGATAGTTCAGTGGTCTTGGGGCGCCTACCTTTCCGACTCCTTAAGTCGCTCAAGACCGGCTAGAGATTCCACCTCCGAGAGAAACTTTAAATCGAGAGACCCCATAGGCGAGATGCGAAGCCGTTTGTTGGCATAAACCTTGGTCGCATGCTCGCGAGCACCGAGGTATTCGGACACTGAAACCGGAGGCCTCTCAATCAACGGACAGCCTTCTGCCTTCCAACGCACCCAGTTCTTATCCCTAGAAAGGACAGTGTCCACCATACGATAGTAAAATTTACCACCGGGCCCTTCCTGGAGATATTCCTCGATCGCCTTTCTCATTTTAATCGCCCACTTGGCCTACTGGAGTCAGTATCCGGTCCGACGCAAAGGCTTTTGGGAGTAGCTTACATCTTCTTCACTCAGTACGAAGCCGTAAAGCACGGACTTGTTGGTCAGGTCAGCGAGTTTGGACTTTGCCTTGGGCGTAAGTGAGAGCATGAAGTCCAACAGTATGAGGGCCTGGACAAGAACATGTCTCCTAAATGCTGTGTCGTTGACCTATGATAATTGGTCAGATAGACGGAGACAATCGGCCATATGTCACCTACCTCGAGGTCGAACAAGTCTCTACTGGTCAGGTACTTGGGGTTAAAGCTGCTGGCGATTTCCTGGCCATCGGTAGTGCGCTTCCGCTTGGTAGGTTTCCGGGCTTCCTCCGATGCTTTGGTGGTACTCGAGTTTTCGAGGTCTGTATTCACACTCTTGAATGTCGAGATGGTAGCTTCGAGTCCGGTCTTGAAGGTAGCGAAATGTTGAGGGTCGAATGTTTTCGTGGGGGCGGAAAAATATGCCTGTAAGCCCCAAAAAATGGAATAGAGATCATCCAAATTCACAGCATTTCCTTCAGGCTCGTCCTTCGATTTCGAGATAACAACTCTCGGGGTTTTCGGGGGTTCTTGGGCGATGGAATGGGAATCGCTCGCAGATGGCGCTTGGGCTTCACTTTCCTCTCTTGGGCCTTCGGTCCCTGTAGCGGGTTCGATGCCATCCGACATCTCCACATCCGCGTCGTCGTTCTCCTTCTCGGCAGCTTTGGCAATTTCATCATATGTAGTCACATTATCGGTGTGGTATTCGCCCCGAAGGTTGACAGCGCTCTTGTCTCCTAGAGGGAAGCTTTGGAACAAGAAAATGAAGACGCGTCCACAGAAGACGGTGTCCTCCGCCCTCGACAGCCTTCGAAGCAGCTCATTGCAGGAGCGTAAGATAATCAAGCTTTTTTGCTTGAAATGTTTCTTCACCAACGTCAGCAGATGCGGCGCAATGGGGAGGCGCAAGACAAACCAACCTTGGTGTTCCGTTCTCTTCTTGATTCCAAGTAGTCAAAGACCTTCCGACAGCCATCAATGGTCTGGCTGTCGAGCAATTCTTCGATCAGCCAAAATATCAGGCCGGGCTCGCACTGTTCTATGGAGACGTCAGGACACCATCCGCAGCTCACGATCGCGTCGGGGACTGACCATTGTCGGAGAAGATGGAGATGATATCGAGGAGGTTCCAGATCTGGATAAATGAGGGGTCTTCGATTGAGGTTGCAGCCTGGAAGGAGGGGGGGGGGGGAAGGCACGGGTCAGCGACGGCTTTGGATCGCCAATTCGGATATAGAAAGAGAAATATAGATCGGAACATACAAGAAGCCCGTAAAACTTCTCTCGAAACGCGATCTCGACGGCAGCGAACCGAGTCTGTTGGCCCGATACCCTTGCAAGCGACTCGTCTTCCCCATCAATGAGCCAGATCGAATCGCCCAGGTGTGTCTCGGACAAAGGAGGTTCAATCTGCTTGTCGGGTTTGGCTTGGTCTGCGCGTGCCAGGAGATCGTCGATCAATCTTCTGTAGGTGTGGATTACGCCAACATCGACATCCGCCATTCTTGCAAGAGCAGATGGTCCACAGGGCGGCCACAGGGTGGAGGGGTAGGAGAAGATGGAAGGGAGCTGTGGAGCTGGAGAGGAAACGGCAGATGAATGATCAATGAGTGTTGCTGCGGCTCTGCGGGTCCTAGCCGCCGGAGGTTCCAACTTCCCATGCCTGGTAGACGCGCGCCAGAAGCTTTCCCAATCCCGCCGCAACGGACCACTTGCGCAGATAAATCATTCCCGCGCTCGGAGTCTTTTAACAATCCCCCCCCCAAAGTCTGAGAATGGGCCTACAGACTCGTCAGGCAATGGCGCCGGGCCTGGACTCCAGACCGACCGTGGAGGATTTCCGCGAAGACAGCGCTTGGGTGCGGCTGGCCAAAACCCACTGGCTGGAGGGTTCCAAGGCCCGCAAAGTCAAGCAGGATGTCATCAAGAAGGACATCTGGGATCCCCTCGAGGCTGAGGGCTTTAGCTTTCGCTCACTTCTGACGCTGGAGAACTTGAACATACTGGAAAAGTGCGCCAGTCCCGCAACCCCTCTCCGCCTGTCAGCTCAGTGCCTAACCCGCGACTAGGTTTCTTTGGCCGACCTATACGGAAGATGCCTCGAACTACCACGTGCTACTGCTCGCCCTGGTTGTGAGTGTGAAGCAGCGAGAACATTTGTCTATCTGGGGTAGGCTAGTCTGTGGAAGATTGAGACCTGCATCGATGCTAATCGACACCTAGGGATCTTCTCCGATCGACCGGATGATTTCTCGAATCTTTTCCACCGGATCCTTTCAATGAGCATTGACCCGTCGCTCAGTACGTTTTCGCGGTCGTCGATAGTGTCGTTCATCATCAGTGCCTTCCAGTCCGTCGAGAACCCGTTGATACGCAAGGAATGTGCCCCGCTTGTCTCCATCTCCATCTGGCACAACTTGTCGAGCGAAGAAGCCAGAGACCGTTTATCAGCGAAAAGCCCGGCATTGAAGAAGGCCTGGAGGGCTGCGGCGAAACGATACGATGCAGGAGATGAAGCAGGCAAGGCAAGGATTCGCTTCGAGCGATCCTGGCTGTATACCATGCTTTTGGATTTTCTACGGAGGCTGAACGGACCTGAAAAGGACCAGGCAGATAATCTGCAATACTGCGAACGATTTCTTGAGTTCCTTGTGGATCTAGAAAGCCAACCTCCCACCCGACGCTATGTGAACACACTGTTGAGCGATCTCAATTTGTTGCCTGTTATCCGCCTATCGCAATTATATCGCTCTTCGGACCATGCGTTGCTCCGGGATCTTTGCAATCTCCTGAAGCATTTCTGTGCGTTTGCAATTGACGACTTCAGTGGAGAGGCTTTGACTCCCCAAGCCGTATACGATGCCCACTGCCAAGAGCTAGCACGTCTACAAAGGACCTCGATGAAATTCTTCAAAGACAAGCTAATGATCCTAGCTCTGTCAAACTATGGATCCCTCGAACAACGCTCCGAGCTAGAGGGGCAATTGGTTGCCTTGGACGATTTCGAGCTCCAGAGCCTGTGCTCTCACCTCGGGTTCCGCACGGAATATCCGAAACAGTGTCAAATCACCCCCGATCGCCATCTGTATCTGGAAATTCTGCTGTCATTCTATGAGCGGAAGCCGGCATTCCAAGAAACTGCCTCCCAGCTGAGCATCGTTCCCACCGAAGAAAACCTCTATGACCCGGCATTACTACGCAACGAAACCTACGATGGATCCCGGCCGCTTGCGATCCCCAAGCTGAACCTTCAGTATCTTAGCCTCGGTGATTTTATGTGGCGTTCCTTCCTGCTCTACCGTTCGGAGGCATTCTTCCAGATTCGCAAAGACATGGAGTCGATTGTGAAACGGATGCAGCCCCGCGCAAGCCGGGATGGGAAGACCTTGACATTTGACGGATTCTCGAGGATGGCCATCCCTATCACAAAGCCTGCTATCATCGAGGTTGCACCTCCCACAGTTGGCTCGGCAAAGCCTGCGTTTGTAAGAGCCGAAATAGCTATCGAGGTGGGAAGACTGGCCGAGCACATCCGAGTGGAATGGGAATCACTTCGTCCGGAAGATGTCGTCTTCTTGCTGGCTGTACAGTCCGATGGCGCTGGGCCCCGAGATCCCGAAAGTCCCAGTCTGAAACATCTTCGAACAGCAGAGATTGTACAGGTGCTCGATGAAAACGGTCGCCCACTGCGTGAATCTGTCTCAGGCCAGTCGAACGGTCACAGATCTAGGCCACGGGTTAGGAAATTGCTGGTCAACTTAGACCCTGCTGCATTCAAAGCAGACAAAGACAGCCTTGCGCGAGGGAAGCCGGATGTTTACCCGTTTATCAACGTGATAGCGAGACGGAAAGGACGGGAGAATAACTTCAAATCCATACTTGATACCATGCAAAAGCTTATCGTCTCGGACATCGCCCTCCCTTCCTGGATCCAGGACATCTTTTTGGGATACGGAGACCCATCTGGGGCCCGGTACACAGAGTTGCCCAATCGATTGAAATCTGTTGATTTCCGGGACACATTCTTGGACTGGCAGCATCTCATTGAAAGCTTCCCTGGCTCGACCATAGAGCCCTCGAAGGAGGAAACGTCAAGTTTTGGCCCTCCGTACATACTTGAATACGCCGAGGAGCCATCCAACCCGCCTGCGACAGGTACTTCTAAGAAGCGGAGAAGGCTTCAAGCAGAAAAGGCAAATGGCCCCAAGTCACTGCGTGTCTCGACATATAAACCGCCCAATCCCGGCCCCTATCCCATTGACGCACCCAAGCTCAATACCGTCCGGTTCACCGCGGCACAGGTGGAGGCTATCGCCTCTGGAACCCAGCCCGGCCTCACCGTTATTGTTGGACCTCCTGGCACAGGCAAAACCGATGTTGCAACCCAGATTATAAACAACATCTACCACAATTTCCCTAAAGAGCGCACACTGCTTATTGCGCACAGCAATCAAGCGCTGAACCAACTCTTCCAGAAGATTGTTGCGCTGGACATTGACGAACGTCACCTTCTCCGTCTCGGCCATGGCGAAGAGGAGCTAGATACTGAGACCAGTTACAGCAAATACGGACGCGTAGAGTCATTCCTCGAGAATCGCAACCAGTTCCTCGGGGAAGTTACTCGACTAGCAGCTTCGATCGGAGCACAGGGTGCCCATGGCAACTCCTGTGAGACTGCTGGATACTTCAATACCGTTCACGTTCAGCCTGCATGGGCCAAATTCTGGGATCACGCTCGCAGCGAGACTGCTTCAACCGAGGAGATCATCGCGACATTCCCCTTCCACACGTATTTCACCAACGCACCGCAACCTGTTTTCAACCCCAGTGCTACAAAAGATACCCTGCTTGATGTAGCCGAGGGTTGCCAGCGGCACATTGCGAAAATCTTCTCCGAATTAGAAGACATTCGCCCATTTGAAATCTTGCGTCAACCTAAGGACAAAGCCAACTATCTCCTTGTCAAAGAGGCAAGAATCATCGCCATGACGTCAACACACGCTGCCATGCGTCGTCAGGAGATAGCTAACCTTGGATTCCATTATGACAATGTTATCATGGAAGAGGCGGCACAGATCACAGAGATCGAGAGCTTTATCCCTACTGCCCTGCAGAACATGAAGAGCGGCGAGCTCCCTCTGAAGCGTGTGGTCCTATGCGGTGACCATCTTCAGAACTCTCCCATTATCCAGAATATGGCTTTCCGGCAGTACGCTCACTTCGAGCAAAGTCTGTTCCTCCGTCTGGTGCGGCTGGGGGTTCCAGTAATCACACTCGACCAGCAGGGACGCGCAAGACCAAGTATTGCAGAGCTCTTCCGGTGGCGTTACCAGCAACTTGGAGACCTGCCTGTTGTTCAAACAACCTTGGAATTCAAGCAGGCGAATGCCGGCTTCCAATTCGACCACCAGTTCATCAACGTCCCTGACTATCAGGGCACAGGCGAACGCGAGCCCACTCCCCATTTCATTCAGAACTTAGGAGAGGCCGAGTACGCCGTTGCCATCTATCAGTACATGCGTCTCCTTGGATACCCCGCTTCGAAGATCACTATTCTTGCCACCTACGCTGGCCAAACGGCATTGATCAAGGATGTCCTCGGCCATCGTTGCGCCAAGAACGGACTATTCGGAATGCCCAAGATCGTGACGACGGTGGACAAGTACCAAGGTGAACAAAACGATTGTAAGTTGCCTTTTTGTCATGCAGCTCATCCTATGGAAACCATATAGAACTCCGACTAACTTTACGTTTTTACAGATGTAATCCTTTCTCTCACAAGAACCCGTACTGTCGGCTATCTACGTGACGTCCGCCGCCTCACCGTTGCACTGTCTCGTGCCCGTCTTGGACTGTACATCCTCGGCCGTCGCGAGGTGTTCGAGTCGTGCTATGAGCTCAAGCCCGCGTTCGATCTGCTATTCCAGCGCCCGGACAAGCTTATGCTTGCCCCGGGCGAGATGTTCCCGTCTGCACGCTCACTAGATGATGAGGTTCAGAGTACAGCGATGGAAAGTGTTGAGCATCTCGGCCAATATGTGTTTGAGATGACCCAGGCCAAGCTGAAAGCCATGGGCGAAGTCAGTGTCGTGGTCGACAATGATATGCAGGTCGGTGAGGATTATGTGATGGATGAGGATGAGGTGATGCTTGGGGCCGGGGAGGAAGGAGAAGATGATCCTTTGCACGAGCATGCATGATCTACCCCACTTGTCAACATCAGTGGTGTGAGCCTTCTTGCGCATGTGCGCACACCATGTAGTACGGCACGATGTTGAGCAGCAGATGGGCCTGTGGGCTCATACTGAAAAAATGAATGGCCAACCCCCTGTGATGAGGATCTTTTCTTGCGCTGTGATATCACGTATTTATGTTTTTGTTGGTAACTGTTGCCTGGTATGAGGATAAAAGCCTTGATGGCCGGCTAAGCTCCGATTTATATATACTACACACAAACTTCTATACCCTAATGTACTCCCGCCATTTCTGTCGGCGGTCTGTCGTGTCGTCGGTCAGTTCTAAAGACAGCCCCCGTTGAATGGCTCGCTTGAGCAGGGGCCCGATCCAGCCCTTCACGGCTCGCTCTTGGAAATCTCCTCGACGATGTTTTGCGGGTCTTTCCATGCGAGAGCAACAAACCTGTCGGCCGTCAGTAAACGGCACATTCCAAAGGGTCGTTCTGAGAAAAGAGATACATACTTGGTGTGGCTTCCTCGGGCAAAGACCTCACCCTTGTTGTTGAGGAACTTGATCGAGGTGTATGCAAGGGTCTTGCCGACTGCAGACGCATGTAAGATGACGTGCCATATTGGTGATTGGTGTGCAGCGTGTCAGATACAGATCAAGTACCCGTGGTAAACCTACATTTATCACAGCTGACTTCCTATAAGAACACAGCGTATTAGATGCCTACACTCGGGGCATAAAAGTGGAAGTACACTTTCTGGGACATACCGCTAGAACCTTATCGCCTACTTTACCACCGGAGCTCAGGTATGTCACTACGTTCGTTCGGAGGCACTGGTCAGAGAGCCTCTTGACGGGTTGGCTGTCTGATAGCCACGCGGTTCACTCACCGTTGAGGTCGGTTGAAACGCCGGTCGCATAGAGACCGCGGGAAGCAACAGCCAGCGAGCCACCCAGGTCCACTGTGCATCCAGGGATATCAGCGTTCTCGATGCCTGGAGAGAAGGGTCTTGCAAGGTGCGTGGCCTACCCATGCTAGCGATGGTACCGCCATGGAGGATGTTCAAGCGATTCTGACCCCGGTCAACTGACAGAGAATCTTCATCCATACCCTCGCCAGACTTACCGTGTGCTCTTTCTTGACGTCTAGTTCGAAGTTCACCAGTCCAGGCTTGGCGGCCGTCACACGGAGCTGGAGGGAGATCCATCAGTACGCTCCGAGGCTCTCAGCCGAGGGTATGCGGAGGCTCTCCAAGAGGCACACGCTAGGTCGTTGTCCAAGGCGGCGGCTTACGTTGTCTAGCAGTCTATGCCACAGTAGTGATTAATCGCCGTCGGTGGTGAGCTGTCTGATCTGATGGGAGGGCGCGCTCTATGACTTACCGAGGCTCCAGCCCCGAAGTAGCCCGAAAGGACTCCCAGACCTAGGGCCGCTGTCAGTAGATGGGAAAGGGGCCCACAGTGAGGCGCAACTGACCGAACGAACAAAGCGCAAAGCCGTCATATTTATATGGTGTGTATGTAGAGAAGGTGGAGAGAGAGAGAGAGAGAGAGAGAGAGACACAAAGGCGCGTGAGATCATCGCCGCGGACTGCGCTTAGTGGCCGAGTGGCTCACCGCAGCGGCGGCGGTGATCTTCTTTCCCTCAACTTCTCAACTTCTCAACTTCTCAGCTTCCAACCCTCTCAGCCTTCCAGGCTCAGCGCACAAACAGCCTCTGTGTTTACGTCGCATCATGCTGCAGACGTGATTCGTGCAGACAAGATGGCTGCTGCACCGTCGTCCCGTCCGTTCGAGTATCTCGAAAGGCTTCCTGGCACGGTCTTCTTCAAACTCTACCAGCAGCCATCAACCGCCCTCGCCATCTTCCGGCGCATGCTGCCTGACCTGGGTATGTCGGCCACCGTGGGCCATGGGTCTTAGGCTGTGACTGACCTAGATGCCAGCAAAATGCTTTGTCATGGCACTTCTTTACCTGAAAGATCCGCTGCCCGCGGCGGATCTGGAGGTCTGGGTTAAATCTGAAAGCTTGAAGTGAGTCTAGTAGTCTACAGCTAGCTACCCTGAGGTTCCCTTCAATGATTATTAACACCCTTCTCCTTTTCTCTGCGTCAAGGGAGCGAGACCACGCGCTCTCCATCCTGGGACGGCTGAACATCCTATCCAATACCACCACCGCGAACAATGTCCGAGCCTACATGGTCACCAATCCGTTTGCCGCCTCATTGCGCCAGGCTCTTACGGGGGCCGAACAGACACAATCGTTCGGTGTACTGTCACACACCCCCGGCCGTTCAGCTGTCTCCATAGCCGACCTGGACGAATACGCAAGACGGCAGTGGGAAGGCCTACTAGGCTTCATGGTCGGAACAAGTGGCTTGGGAATACGGGAGGTGAGCTTGAGCATGGGCGTGAAACAGCTTCTGCAGGCTGGATCCCTCGTTGAGATCAGGGGCACTCGCGTCGATATCACCCAGGACGGGTTTGCCTTTGTTCTGCAAGATGTCAGCACGCAGGTGTGGCATATCCTGGTCCTCTACGTCGAAAGCGCCGCGGCCATGAACATGGACAGTGTCGAGGTCCTTTCGTTCATCTTCCTTCTTAGCAGTCTGGAGCTCGGAAAATCATACGAGAAGAAACACCTCACCTCAACCCAGCTCCATACCTTGACTGACCTGGCCGACTTTGGCATTGTATACCAGGAGTCGCCCGACTCTTCCCGTTTCTACCCTACTCGTCTTGCGACCACCCTTACTTCCGACTCCAACGCCCTGAACAACCCCATCTCAGGCTCTCTATCCAATCCTACGGGCGACCCCTCCAGCAAGGCGGGATCAGGCTTCATAATCATTGAAACCAATTACCGCCTGTATGCATACACCTCGTCGCCACTGCAGATCTCCCTCATTGCTCTTTTCACAACGCTGAAATACCGCTTCCCCAACCTGATCACCGGCAAGATCACCCGCCAGTCGGTTCGTCGCGCTGTCGAGATGGGCATCACCGCCGACCAGATTATCTCCTATCTCTCCACCCACGCACACCCCCAAATGCGCAAGCACAACGCCTCTCGCTCGACGTCAAACCAGGCCGGAGTACCGGGTGCCATTTTGCCGCCGACGGTCGTTGACCAGATTAAGCTCTGGCAGCTGGAGCGGGACCGTGTCAAGGCCACGACTGGGTTCCTCTTCAAAGACTTCGCCAATTTGGCGGAGTACGAGGCTCCATGCCGCTATGCGGAGGAAATCGGTGTCCTCGTATGGAAGTCTGATCGGAAGCGGATGTTTTTCGTGACGAGGCATGAACAAGTCGCGGCTTTCCTGAGGAGCCGGAAATGATTTGGATACTACGGCGATGCCGTCCGGGCTAGACTACTGCCGGACTATCTATCTCCTTGGTTCTTCTTTGGATCTACTACGCTGCATAGAGGTATGGCCTAGCTTTTGCAGATTCCGGGGTATTCACGAGATGGCGAAGCTGAATTGGATACGAGAAATCGACCATGGGTTCTCAAAATGTACAATAACTGGATACAGCCGAGAACAAAAGCAAAAACAGGAGAAAACTAGAAAGACAAATCAAAGATTACGAATAAAACATTTTCTGAATATTTCTGAATGACTCGATCCCCAGTGACCCAACCAAATGCCGTAGCTTCTGGCTCAAACGCCGCAACTCCTCGCATACACGCTGTCACCACAAACCACTTTTTATCTAGTTCATCCACCGACCCCCATAGAAGCGAACATAGTCGTTTCGAAAGTCTCGAAGACTCCTACTCGCCTCGTCCGTCACGCATACGTTTTCCAGCACCATAAACGCGCGCTTAATCCGATAACTCACAAGGTCCCCATCGGAGTCGCCCAACGGCCTCGAATAGCTAGACAGCATGCCAAACCCCGTCGCGACATCCGGCTCCTGGAAGGAGTCCTCGTAATGAAAGGCGTTGGTGAGCGTCATGAAACGACCCAGCCAGTACTCTCGGGGGTTGGCTCCCCAGACCTGCGAAAGCGTATTGGCATGCACCGTTAGTGTCGGCCTTCCTGAGACAGAGACACGGACAGGGATGGAGATGGAGACAGAAGAAGGGATCCGGGAACCATGATGGCCTGGCGGTGACGATACCATTCTGTCTGTCCGGGTCCTGTGCCTCATCATCATCCTTCGATCCGGGGCGGCTGTGGCATTGTTGTTCTCCTCCTGGTTCGGGCTGGTCTGTGGAGTGGTAGTCTGCCTGGATTCTTGGGCTGCGGGAGCTCGTGTATATGTCTGTGCTATAGCTCTGCGCGAGGCGTCCTTTTCCCTGCTTTGGTCCGGCGCGCGCAGGTTCTCGAATTTTCCCGTCCAGCGGATCCTGCGAGGCGGGTCGAGCTCGCTTCTCGAGATGGAGTTGCTTGCGTTCCATGCCATCGTCACTTGTGGCCTGGAGTGGCCCTCGTCGTCTGCGAGGCGAGAGTAGGAGTCTGAGCTCTGTTGGAAATAAATGTGATCGTGATCCCCCAGTCGCACCTTCCTCGGTGCTGTTTGTGCTTCTCTTGGGTCGGACGGTACATGTTCGTCTGGCGTTGCGGTGCGTCTGTGGTTTGGACTGTCCGGCATGTTGAATTCACGACTGATAGCTTCTTTCCGGCCGAACACTCGAGTGGAAGGCAGCATTGCGGTCATTATGTGAAGGTCGCTGCGAAGGCTGTCCTGCCTGCTGCTGCTGCTGCTGACGTCTTTGGAGGAGGGGATTGAAGCCGACGATAGGTACCGGTTGGTCCGTCTCAGAGACGGTCGTTCACTGTCATTGCCTTGGTCTGTTTGCTGCAGAGACAGATCAGCTGTCAGCTCGGATTGATAGGTGTCTTCCATCGTGTCTCTTCTGTCTCGCTGACGCCGCTGGCTTCCTTGAACAGTAGAAGACCGCCTGCGACTTGCAAAGGTCCGCCCCGAGAGCCCCTTGTGTCCTCTTTCCGTGTATCGCGCTAGATCGGTATACCGCTTGCCTATGGAGGAGAGCACGCTTCGTCTCCCTTCCTGTCGGTATATCTGGTGACAATAGAGGTCGGATTTGGGGAGGTTGACGGGCGTTGGCAGTCTCGAATGAGCTGGGTTGGAGATCTTCCCGCTTGTCGCCTGGGAGTCTGGCCGTGAAAGGACTCGCTCGGTTTGAGATGCGTCTTTTCCCGGGTTGCTGGGGGGGTGTCTCTTCATCTTAGGATCCTTTGAGTGGCCGTGGTGGCATTGGCGTTTGGTGTAGAGATTGGAGAAGACTCGTGATGAGTGGGGGATGAGAGTTGAGTGGTGAGAGCGTGTTGGCATTCACTGATCCCCGGCAAGTCGGGGACGTTCCCTGATATGCGATGCACTTGGTAAATGAAGTAGAACCCTGCAAGATCATCCAGCCAGAATTTGGAGTGTACACGTTTGATGGCATTGTCTATCCATGCGAAGTATGTCCATATAAAGACCCCCCCCCCCCCCCCCGGATCCATTGCCTAAACACCTCATCAAGTCATCAAGCCCGAAGAGATCCCAACCCCTTCACTCCGAGTCGCTGTCCACAACGAAGCCCGCGCGCATCCGTCGGCGACCTGCCGCAGCGACTGGCGCATCTTCGTCCTCGTCCTCTGCCCTTGCCCCCGCGCCCGGTTCGTTGGATTTCTCGCGTTCGGCTCCAGGAAACCCCAGGTCTTTCTCTCGATCGCGACTGAATGCCAGGTCATCGTCGAAGATAAGGTCGTCTTCAACATCGCGAGTGGGGGTGCCAGCTCTTGACAACCGCGGCGACGATACATCCACGCCTCCCATGAGAATGTCCTCGTCCTCGTCATCGTCACTGATCTGAGTCTCTCGCCGTTGCCGCTTGCTCTGGGTCTCACCGGCCTGGGAATTCCTCCGGCGGGTTTGACCCTTGCGCTGTCCTTTCTTCCCTGTCGCGCTGTCCGCCTCCTCCGTCCTTCCAGTAAGCAGAGCCTTCTTCACTCGATGGGCTTGGTCCTTCCGTCTTTGCTCCTCCAGCAGGAAGAATTCTTTGTCTGCCTCTTCGTCACTCTCCTCGTCACTGGCGTGGACGTACAGATCACTCTTGATCTTGGCGAGGCGAGCCCGTGTATTTTCTAGGCGTGCCCGGCGACGCTCCTCCAGAGCTTCTTCGTCGACGGATTCGTCTGCATCTTCTTCATCATCATCCTCGTCGCGGGCCTTGCGCTTGTTCTTCTTCTTCTTCTTCTTGGTCTCCTTGGAAGCATTCGCCTGTGCTCGAGGGTTTGGTGCAAACAGTGGCCCATCAGGTACCTCATCCTCGCCCTCCGAGTCGGATCCAAAGTTGATATCGGGGTTCTCGCGGTTGTCGTTCCCCTTCTTTGGACCGAACTTGCGGCGAATCAGTTCGCGGGGATCGCGCCCGAGAGTCCCTCGCGTGGCTTTGTCAAGGTACTTATCAACAAATTCTTTCATTTCCCGGAGATCCTGGGCCCGGGGGGTTGCGGTAATGACCCATGATGTCCCAGAAACATCCGTCATTCCAAGCCGCTCAAACTTCAACAGTGTCATCAGGAGGCGGAGCTTGGCGTTGCCGAACATTGCTTCCTGAATAGAATCATCTCGTGGTTTGACAGCTGCCGAAAGTTAGAAAATCTGTTCACTTGTCTAAGGGGGTTTAGAAAGACGTACCAATCATAGGGTTGGGTAATTTCGAGCTCTCTCCACCCGCTTCACACAGGGCTTTTTCTTGAGCTTCCCAGGCCTCTCTGTCTTCGACTGCAGATCCTAAGACCTCGCTAATCCATTTGACCAGATCTGTCTCCCCATCCAGGACCAAGGCGGGCACCACAATGCTGATCTTCTCCTCCATCGTATTTGCTTGTCGAGGATCGATCTCAAGCTCAGCCGGGGCCCTTTTGGCGGTTGGTAGAGTTTGTCGTTCATGTCCATATTCGAGGTAGTATGTGGTGGAGTTGATCTTGCTGAAGAGCAACTCCACAAATAAAGCAGGGCGCTCTTCGAGCCTCTTCACCAGTCGCCTGATGATCTGGCGAACAAGCTCTTCCCACTCCTTAAAGATCGGCTTGCTTGAATCCAAGGCGCCTGGCCCTTTGATGATTCGGTAGAAAAGGTTTACAATGTCCAGACGGAACAGCAAAACGCTCATCTCTTGCTTGAATGCAATCCGATAGAAGTAACGGTGAGCTCGCTTTAACTGCTCTGTGTTCAATTCATTGTAATGCTTAGTGAAAGCAACGAAGGTGTCGACACACTTCTGGTTGCAGAATCTGGCAGTAAACCTTCGGAAGTCAAACTTGCGCTCTTTGGATACCCTTTCGGCTTCCATAAGATCCTCATCTTCTGACGCGCGTTCCTCATCATCCCCCCCATTATTATCTGCTTCTTCTGCTTCCTTGGCCTTGCGCTTGGCGCGTCGCCGGGATCGCACTTGCATATCGGCATTTTCTTTGGAGTAACGCTCGAGCATACGCAAGAAGACATGGGTAAGCTCCGTGCATGCATCCAAATAGCCAAACCCCTGGTCAGTGTATCCGCGAATGATGGCGAGAACGCGATCATGGGTGGTTTCCTCGTAGAAGATTCGGTTTTGGATGTTTTCAGCGATCTCTTGGTCCTCTTCAAGTGGTGACTGGGCCATATCTTGCACGGTCAGCAAGATTTGGGTAAAACAGCGCATTCCGGCAATGAGGTCTTGCCAGTCCTTGTGATCCAAAGCGTACTGCATGGCCCGGTTCAAGAAGACAAAAGTCTCTTGGTTCAGGACACCTGCCACAAGCCCAAAGCTATCTGGCTCCAATCCCTTCGAAGATTTCCCGCTCTCGGAGTGCTTCTTGCGTTGGCGGGCCCGCCGCGCGCGCTCTGCCTCAAGGAACCAGGCGACAGTGTAGAGGAATTGGCGGGTATTGATGTCCACAACACGGTCCGCTTCACGTTCAATGGCCTTCCGTACATGGGTGAGAAGAGGGTTGAATCCCGAGTCCAAAAACTCTTCCACAAACATCCGCAAGTTGGACGAAGCCGTTGAGTTAAGATGAGCCGGAGTGCTGAAGTCGTTGTGCACGGTCAAGTCTTGCGGCTTCCGGCGAAACTGAGGTTTGTTCCACTTTTTGCTTTCATCCATCTTCTGGAGGGTCGCCTGGCTGTCTTTGAGGACGTTCTGTCCAGACACCGTAGAATACTTGGCGTCATCGCGCTTGACCCATATCATTGTTCCGAACCGACCATGCCGTGTTGGTGCGTTCTTCGCGTACTCTCTCCGTATAGACGACTCTTGTTGTAGCAGGTCGCCAAGCTCATCTGTCCGCTTGGCTGTCCGCTGAGCATCGTCCATGAAAAGCTTCTCGACGTTGACTCCCCTAATCAAGTGGAAGAGGATCTCCAGGAGAGTCACATCTTGCATGCTGAAGTCATCACCGACATTGGAACACATGGTAAGGAGAAGAGCAAACACATCTTGGTCCTGGAATGCATTGATGGTGGCGGATCTCGATGTTTCTTCCTCGTCGCCTTCCGCCGCAAGCCGAGTATTTGGGGTGATCAGGGCCAGGTTCCGAAGTAGATAAAGCAGCAGCTTGAGGATTCCTTCGTCTCGGGTTGTCCGTTCGGATCGAGTGACGGCCATGCTCGGAAGGCCAATGCGAATGATGGTCCGAAGATAGCTCGTGCCAGCATGGCTAAGGAGGCCTCGCTTGTAGGCGACGTGGACATGTTGGAGGTATGGGATATGGCGATGATGATTGAAGGTCATCTCACCGTGGATCTCCAAGGGCCACGTCAAGGGGACAAGCAGTTCTACTACTCGCGGTCAATTATGGCCATCGAATTTCACACAAGCCAGCATGCGGGCAACTTACAGCACGCCAAGGCAATCCTGGACATATACTTGGTCTGTTTCCCGCTGGTGGCCCAAACCGACAGGATCGGCAAGAGGTCACCGTTGATGAGATTGGCTTCTCCCAGACATCGTGCAACATCCATGCGGTTGTGTTTTTCATCGTACAGCTTCAGCCAGCGTTTGATATCTCGGAGGCAGGCTAAGGCGTCATCGCCCAGCATATACTTGTCGGCATCCTCTCCGTTGAATCCACCCAGCTACAGAACCGTAATTAGAGATTGCCTTGTGGACCGGGGGGGTCAGGTATAGGTATAGTCGGGACTCACGGCAGTGACAAGACTGTAGACATGGGCGCGGACATCCGGGTCCACCACCTGAACATCCGGAGTAGACAGCACAGGTTCTTCTTCTCCCTCCATGCTGAAAGGTGATCGGTGGTCTCCTCTATCCTGTTCGCATTCTCATTGCTGTGCTGCTGACGATCGGACGGCAGCCCCTTCGCCGCCTCGAGAAGCCAGCCAATGGGGGCGCGCTATTTACGCGTTCACGCGTCTCCGCCTTTGCCGCTTTGGCGCGGAGCAACGGGGAAACCAAAGAGCCGGGAAGCCGAGGATAGCCGATGACGTCGGCCCGGATCACATGAGGGCCGCGGTACGTCGTCCGTTAGCAGTAGTACTTTATGCTGTATCTGCCTCCCCCTCCCCCTCATTCTTCTGAAAACTAAACCCTTCCCTACCCATCCTGCTGACATGTTGCTGTCGTCGTTGCCGCGGCCACTGTGCCGCAGGGCCCCTTCAATGGCCCGCCGGGCCTTCAGCACATCTCCCGCCGCCTATACTGCCGAGGTTAAATCGTTGGGCGTGATCGGAGCCGGGCAAATGGTCAGTTAGCTTCACCCACGCACCATGCTGCTTCCTCTCTAACGTGATGTAGGGATTGGGCATTGCCCTGGTGGCTGCCCAGAAGGCCCGAGTCCCGGTAACTCTGGTCGACAACTCGCAAGCCTCCATAGACAAGGGCCTCAAGTTTGCTGGTACGTAAGCAGGCAGGCAGGCAGGCAGGCAGGCAGAGCGCCCTCATCCTCTCCCTCACCCGTCGGCCGACTCTTTTTGCAGTCCATTGAGCTAACGACTCACCCGGCTGCTTGTCCAGACAAACTCCTCGAGAAAGACGTGTCCAAGGAACGTCTCACACGCGATGCAGCCGACGCAGTCCGTGCCCTCATCACCCCCAGTCTGAAGATGGACGCCCTGTCGTCCGTCGACTTCGTCATCGAAGCTGTCCCGGAGATCCCAGAGCTTAAATCCTCCATCTTCTCCCAACTCGCCCAGATCGCCCCCAAGCATGCCATCCTCGCGACCAACACGTCATCCATCTCCATCACCAAGATCGCCGCCGCCACCTCCTCCGATCCAACCGACCTCCAGGCTCCCTCCCGCGTCATTTCCACCCACTTCATGAACCCCGTCCCCATCCAGAAGGGTGTGGAGATCATCGCCGGTCTGCAGACCTCTCAGCAGACGATCGACACCGCCATTTCCTTCGTCCAGCGCATGGGCAAGGTCGCTTCCGTCTCCGCGGACTCGCCGGGCTTCCTCGCCAATCGCATTCTCATGCCCTACATCAACGAGGCCATCATCTGTCTCGAGACTGGCGTTGGTCGCCGCGACGACATTGATAACATCATGAAAACCGGAACTAATGTCCCCATGGGTCCGCTGACTCTGGCTGATTTCATCGGGCTCGACACCTGTCTGGCTATCATGAATGTCTTGCACCAAGAAACTGGTGATAGTAAGTACAGGCCGTCAGGGCTGTTGAAGCGGATGGTCGATGCCGGCTGGCTAGGTAAGAAGTCTAGTAAGGGCTTCTACGACTACTGACCGATCTTCTCTGTATTATGTATGAAGTGCTATGTTGAGATATCCATTCGACTGTGGTTGCCGATGTCTTACATTATCTGGTCATCCACCACGTATCCACTTGTCCAGCGGAGACTGCTGGATGAGATCCGAACGCGCAATGGTGCCACTTATCAATTTGCCTATCCGTATTTCAAATACTGTAAGCGCGGGCAGCAAGCGGTTCCGATGATAGCTTGTGTCCGTTAGACCGCCCTTTTTTATGGCGTTTCGGGGTCCAGGCCGTATACACTCAACCGCCAGGGTATTGACAAAAGTATACCCTTTGTTATTTTAGGGAAAGAACAAGACATATGTCCAGATCTGCAATTTGCTTGTGAATTTATGAACATATGAGAGGAAACGAGCATAGACAATCGATGTAAGGAAAGTGCGCGCAATTTCGTATTCGCTAATCCGATGAGATATGCTTCAAAGAAAAGAGAGTCTTAGGAAGCCTTCCTAGTGCGAGTCTGCTGCGCCCTCAGCAAACCACCCCTATCTCTGCACAGATGTCTGGCCTTATCCATGCCTTGGGTTTTTGCCATTTCTTCGTCCCGCACCCTTTCGTTACAAAGTATGGCAGCCACCACGGCGGCAAGCTCGGCCTCTTGATCTCGATTCACTCCACTGTGGCCAATAATGAAGGTCAGGAAATCAATAGGCCGTTGGCCTGGCTTAGCACAGGTGCAAGATAGCCAAGGATTGTGACAGTTGTTGCTGGGCCCTATTAGCAATTGAACACATCGTGAAGGACCAGGAGATAACAATACCAGAACTGCGCCTTGCATCTACACGTAACATGGTCACAATTAAATAGAAGGTCCACCAAGGAACCACATTTGAACCCCCTTTGCCCTTTCCCAAGGAGCGGATCCTCAAAGACCGCCACCAATCCAGGCTCCGGGAAGTGGCCTTTGGTGGTGGGTCCAGGGCATCGACAGGAGGAACAGAATGCCGTACTGCAGTACGGACAGCTCTGCGATGAGGACTTGCTGCTCAGATACTTCGGGGGTATGAATCGTCCACACGCTGCTGCAGGGCAATAACAGCGTTCCGCAAAGGGCGTCGCATACTCCTGCATCTTGGACAGGCAAAGTCCTCTTTCCTTCGGCGTCAATACGGAAAGAATGACCTCGGTCGGGATCCTCTGCTTGCAGCATCTGGGTGGGAACAGCTTTTCCTCCGGCATGACTGTAAACACCATTTGCTTCAAGCACCGGCTGCAATACTTATGCTGACAAGGCATGCTTATCAAACACTCAGCAGGCATGATATCGAGGCAGCTCGCACAAGGCCTGGAGTTTGTTAGTGCATCATTGACTATTGGAGCTTAGGGCCTAACTGGGAGACTGACTCATCCATTGCTTCCCCCTTAGCAAGGTGCTTTGTGAACTTCCCTCGGATCTTTGCCAAGAACCGACTCATCCTCGGCTTGGGGCCATGCCCTTCGCTGTGTGACTGAGATCTCATCGACCCGACTTCAAGAACGTCTGCTGGCGCGGGTTCTGTGGTGAAAGCGCCGTTCAGAGCCGCAGTACCGCGACCAACCTCAGGACTCGGACGTTTTTCGGCTAGTCGCTGGGTGGCACGCGAGGCCAAAGCTCGGATATTGAAGGCAGGCATCTTCAGCTCAGGCAATGCTTTTGTGACTGCAGGCCTTTGGCGTGGACTGGGCGAATTACCTACGCTTCCGGGAGGGTTCAGTGACGGAGGGGAGCAGATTGCACAGATTGATTGCTTGGGGCAATTCTGGGACGCTGGAAGCCATCATCGCTTTTCTTGGACTAGAGGGAAAGGCGCAGGTAACGACGAGTATGCGACATAAACATAATACCTGAGTCGAGGGAACTGGCTGGAATAGGGTCTTCTTGTTTCTGTGATGTAGATTTTGAGATTATGATATGGACAATAAAGACAAAAACGGCCGACGCAGGAGCGACAGATGCCGGGCTTTATAGCCATATCTTCGGACAGCTCGACAAGCTATCTATGCAAGAAGTCCGTCGCATGAGGAGGGGTGGACAGATCGCGACAACTAAGCGGCCAGACAACGGGTAGGGTGGTTGAGTGCCACATGTCAGGCCCCATTATTTGCCGGGGATCCCTCAACGACAACCCTCCATGGGGACCGCCCGTCATTATTCGCCCATCCATCTGTACGGTGAAGGTGCAGGTGGCACTACCTGGTCCTTTCCAACCAACCATGGAGGGGAGGGAGGGAACTGGCAATCACGACAACGGCATTCATCTGGACGAGTGAGCTGCGCACTGTGCTCGACCATGAGGTCGACGACCGACCTTAGGCGTCGACGTGTCCGACTGCGGGGCTAGGGGGGAGGGGGGTGGATGGGAGGATGCAAGAGGGAGAGAGGCTGGAGGAATGATAAGCCAGCTGAGGTCGGCCCATTAGGTACCAAGCCGGGTCACGTTGGGAGGGAACCAACCAGCCTCACTCCCTCACCGCAACAACCGCCAATCCGAATGACTCACGCGATCGAGCATCCTCCCCGACGGAAACCCTCGCCGGACGACCAGGTTCGATTCTAGCAAGCTTCCAGGACTTCCAGGATTGTCGAGGCTTTTCTTATTCAATGCCACCGAGCAACTCCCGTCGAATTCCGTACGCCAAACCCTGATCTTCGCACACGGCCGGACCGACCGACCGACCTCAGAGTGCACCAGCAAACTTCCGAGCAGCCCACGATGAACCGTGCTCTTGGTACTCCTGCCGGGTGATTGCGACCTTCCTCATTTCGGCTTTGTTCGTAGCAAATCGGGACGCCCCCGACCAGGTCGAACGAATCGGACTGTTCGCAGAAGCTCATTAGCTGGTGACTTTTGAACCATGGAAGAGGGGAGGGCATACTCTTGAGGGCATCTGACCCGTACGGCACATTCTGCCGAAGCCAGTTGGCGTAGTTCGGTCTCCCTGCGCTGGGTTAGCATGGTGCGATTCCATAAATACAGTGCCACTTTACAGTCTTTCCACGAATCCGGGCAGTAAGGAATTTCCACCGACCACCAATACATTGGCCAAGAAAGCGGGATGCAATCCGGTAGGCAGCACAGAAAGACATTGCATGATAATGTCCGGTATGCCGGCCTGCTTCATGCCAATATCACTTGGGGTAAACAGGATCTCCGGAACAGCAAAGCGCTCGTTGCCCAAAACCAAAGCATCCTCGGATAGCGCTTCAGCGCTGGCACCGGAGAGGCCTCCTTTCCTCTTCTTGGCGTTAAACAGGGGGTCGTGCGGTCGCATGAAGCCCTTCTTGCCAGCATTGGGATCGGGGAGGACATAGTCCACCATGACACCTTCACTAAGATCTGGCAGGCCGCGTTTCCGGTTGCCTTTCCATGTTTGCCCCATATCGCCAGCGAAGTTGGTGCTCACGAAGCAGACAGCCTCCTTGACTTCGTTCATTATATAAGTCTCATCCACCATGTTGTATTGCCTTATCGATACTATCTCCTTCAGATAGTTTGTAAGATGTTTACCACCGAGGTCAAGTCTGCGAATAGCACGTTGGAGCGGCTGCCCCTTGTAAACGGGGGTTACAATGGTATGGGAGTAGCCGGAATCAACCACCAATAGGCATTCTCTAGGCGTTGCAATCGGATCCGCTTCCTGTACGATGGGGTCCCCGAATAGGGACTGAACGTCATTCCAGGCATTCAATGGGGGACCTAGGGGCAAAACACAGTTGTGGTCAGCGAGGCAATAGCAGGCGCGAAGATCCGGAAGCTCTACCAACGCATCTAAGATAACCCCCAAAGCCCCATTCTTCCATTATAATCTCGTCTGCGTTCTTCTGCAACATAGGCAACGCATTCGGCGCCTCCGTCAGCAGCAGCGTCGTCTCTTCCGGGTCGTGGATGCGAAGATCCTTGGACCGCACGGTTTTCTCGTCAAAGAAAGAGTGCTCCCATATCTCCTTCTGGGCCTCCCAGTTCACGATGTATCCTTTCTCAACGGGGCGGCGAAACGACATCTCATTCCAGTCAGTCACATGTGTGTTGAGCTGCGAACCGACGAAAGTCCTGTTGCCACGGGTCTTGACGATCGCGTTAGAGATATCCGAGCAAGCCGAGAGCTCATCTGCTTGGTCATCTGGGGCCAAATGGTTGGGCGCATAGCCGGCCTTCATCGTGTATGCGCCATTGTCAATGATGAAGGTCTTGTCCGGTAGAGATTGGACCTTCGCGACGGAAGCTCTTCCGGCAGGGCGAGGTTTGGCAGGGGCCATCTTGAAGGGGTGTTCAGATCATGAGAATCTGGTAAGACGGGGGTTTGGCAGAACACATATGATAGGCGGAGTACTGTGAAGGGGGGAGAGTCCACACTGGTGGTGGAACCGTTGACGAGGCGTGTGAAGACCACGGGGAGGGAGCTTTCGGTCGCTCGACGGAGATCGGAGATGCCAAGCAGCCCAGCTCCCAAATCGGCAACTCAGGGCTCAGGCTTAGGGCAGGGCCTACGTTCGGGCTGTACCTACCAGGCTATTACTAGTAGTAGTATACTTACTATATATGCACTGGTACGTGTGGCTCGTTGTAGATGGTAGCTTTCTCCTTCTACTACCAACTTTGTGCTGGGATGACCCAGTACGTGTAGTAAGACACTATCACCACCGCGCCACCCCGTCTCCAGTCACTTGTGAGAAATGGCAGCTAGATACTTTACTACCCTTCTAGCAGGTCTGTGGAAATGTCAAGAATACAGTTCCCTTCCGAGTCGAGCTGGTTGATAGCACGATGACAACTTGAAGGTAGTACTGCGTTTGGAATCTCCCACGATGACCGAGTCAACACATATATATAGTATAAGTATTTCTCAGATTGAAGCCTAGAACACCCAATCATCCTGATTACATACACCTAAGAGCAGCAGTAGTTACTTCCCATCCCCATGACCGTATCCCTATCCAGCACAAAGAGTGATAGATCGAGACACCCAATTTGAACCTCCTACAAAGTAACATAAGATTAATGTCGACAGACAGATGGCCAGCCGCCGTCGGGCCGCCCAGCGCCCGCAGGTGACCCCGCAGAACCCTAAGTACATTAGTAGTTAGTTTAGTCCAGATTAATGTTCGAGGCGCCCCGCAGCAACAACAAATTTCTCCCCGCCCCGTCAGGATCCATCCGTTAATTCTCATTTCATCGGCCTCGACAAACGCCCCTCCTTTCAATCCGATCGGCACACCCTCCCTGCCAGAACAAAGAATCCCCGGTCGGAATGTCCAAAAAACTCCAAATCACACTCACAACGAGCTTCACGCTCCTGGAGCAATTCCAGCAAGCGATCTCCTCACATACTGGCGACATAGCCTCCGCCGAGCTTTCGGGAAAGGATGCGTTACCCCTCCTATCGGCCTCGTCCACGGCCCTGAGAGCGCAAGTCACCAAGCTTTCCCTAGTCACCATTACATCTCCATTCACCCCTTCCGCCGTAACGACCGTCCTCGCTGCTTTGAATGAATCAGTGCTGCCGTCCTTGGCCACTGCCGCTCTCCTCGTCACCCCGGCCGAGCACACCAAAGCCTTTCAGAACGAGGTGCATGTCCTGGCAAAAACCGCGTTGAAGGAGATTGCGGCGCTTCTTCAGGAGGTCCAGGTTGCCGCGAACAAGAAAGAAAGTGGGTTGTCGCAGCCGGAGAAGGACGCTGTCACCGTTGCCGCAGGGCGCTTGTGGGACTCTTGCGATACCATCATCGACATTGCGGCCAAGGGAGTGGTCGGATTCGTTGTGCGACGTGTGGAGGAATGGCGAGACCTTGTGCGGGACGCGGTTCGGGAGATTGAGGAATGGGATCCTGATGAGGAGGGTGATGAGTTCTTCGACGAACTTTTGAGCGATGACGAAAAGAACGACGATGAGTCCGACGGAACAGACGACGACGAAGATACCGCTGCACTGCATGCGCAGAAAAAGTCCACTCTTCGGCTTTTGAAACCGCTCTCCCAGATATACTCCGCCATCATCGCGTACAGACTAAAGAAAGCCCCCCAAAATTTGACAATCATCGACCGGTTGGAATCCCTCATGGATCACCTACAAAACATCCCGGGATACGTGGATGAGATAGCGGGGGCGTTATACGAAGCCGACCTGGAGAGATCAGTCCAATTTCTTTCCAAAGCGAAGAGCTGCGCCGTTAAGGCTGTCGACTTGGCAGCATTGCCATGGGATGTGGTGGATGGCGCCGAAAGTCAGCAGGAGAAAGAGGACAAGTTCACGGTCTGGTCTCAGACCTGGTCAAAGGTCTTGGTTGAAGTCAGCAAGTCCGTGTGGGACCCAACGCAGTCAACGTGATTTTCGTCAACGTGATTTTCGACCCCAAACAAGATGGACGGGAAAGAATCGCAAGGACAGGGTCCCAGTGTTTCCAATCTGAGAATATGTTCAGCTAGAAGACAAGCTCAGATTATCACAAGAACCCTATGTGCGCTCTAACTGGGATAATAATTTACACGATTCAGAAACCTGAAACCAAGTATAGTCCCCCCTAGATGTTCTCGGCTGTCATGGGGATCCCCCATGTCACGATAAAGATATTTCTACTAGTCTGACTCGCCACCTGATTCCCACTCGCGAAGTTCCTCACCAGGGATGCGATCCTTGAGCCATTCAAGGACAGCGTCGGTCCCCTTCGCGACAATCTGCCACCGGGGAACACGGAAGCTGTTCCCCGCCACTTCGAGCCGCCTCAAAGCCGTTCCGTTACCCCAGTTCTTGCTCGAACCTTCTCCCCTTAGAAGGCCAAGTTTCGGCGGAATGGCACCAACATCGTTGTTCCCCACGTCTAGAACCTGGAGACCCTGCACCGCCTCAAATTCTAGACTGCTGAATTGGTTGTCGGCAGCTAGGAACGTTGAGAGGCTCGGGTAGCTTTGACGCACAGCAGGAAGGGGACCGGATAGGCGGTTATTTGAGACATCAAGGCACGCAAGAGATGGAGCCACGAGGTTTTTGAAAAGTGGCTGAAGTGTCTTCAGGTTGGTGGCGCTCAGGTTGAGGGCCTGGAGGCTGGGAAGGGTAAGGGGTGCTGAGAAGAGTGATGCCCCATCCAGCGGGTTGTTTGAGAGGTCGAGATCGGTCAGGTTGGATGCGAGCATGTGGAGAGCAGGAACGGGAAAGCAGCGCAGCTCATTGTGCTGCAATTGTAGACATTTGACTTCACGGAGGTTGACACGTTCCAACTCCTCGACCTCCAGCGCTTGCATCGCGGCGTATGACATGTCGAGAACACCGCCAGACTTGATTTGCCAGGAGATTTTCTGGTCCGGGGTTTCCGGCGCCAATGTAAACTGAGTCGCAACAGAACCCTCATCGTCTGTATCCTGAGGCTCTGGCTCACACCGATTTCGCAAGTCACGTTTCAGGTCGTCGGTGCTCATGCCCAGAAACTTGCGTTCTCGGAGAGGGTTGTTGGCTATCCGGAATGTAAAGAGACTCTCCATCAGACCGATCTTTGGGTCCAAATTCGAAAGATTGTTTCCAGTCAAATCAACATTCCTAAGATTCTTCAGGTCAATAAACCCCTGCGGGAGATCGCATATACTGTTGTCCTCCGCTGAGAGAGTCAAAAGAGCCCGCCATGAAGAGATATCGGGCAAGGACTGGATGCGGTTGGTATTGATTGCTAGAGTCTGTAGATTGGGAAGCTCGAGACTTTTGTGGCCTGAGAGTCTCACCAATGCATTGTTGGCTACATCCAATACCTGCAATGTGTCAAGCTTACGCACGGAGTCTGGAAAAAGACAACCCTTTAATTTATTCCTCGGAGCATGGAGTTCCTTTAGCGGGAGCAAGCGTAGAGATTCAAAAGGCAATGTGCTCAGTTGGTTATTACCAACGTTCAAAACTCGAAGCGAGGTTAACTCTGCAAGGCCCTGAGGGAGTTCCGTGAGGGAGTTCTCCTGAAGGTCCAGCGTTTCCAGGTTGGTGAGGTGTTTGATGTCTGGGGGGAGCTCCCCATGTAATCCGTTTCGGGCGAGCCTCAGATCCTTGAGGGACACCATTTCCATGATGACGCGTATATCCTCCATGCTGAGATTGTTATTCGACAAGTTCAAAGTGTGAACGTGTTGTAGCCTTCTGAGGCCCATTGGTAGAGACTGCAGCAAATTCCCATGAAGGTCGAGGAGTTCAAGCCCACCGAATTGGTTTCCCTTTTCATCGATATCTGGGTCCAGCTGTTGAGTATCAACATCGGGAAAAGCATCCTCGGAGAGTTCAGTGAGTTCATTATCCGCAGCGATAAATCTAACGAGGTCCACACTCTCGTACCAGTCAGTGGTGGCATTGGGGTCGAAGTCGTACATCGTCATGACCTCTTTTGGCAGCTCTTTTAAGGACATGGCTGCAATGTTCAGATGGCCAGAAGTCCGACCCGCTTCGATGCGCTTTCGGAGAAGCCCATTATTCGAATCCCTGGGTCTCTGGTTGAATGGATCCTGTGTGTCAAAATTGTCCCATGTATCGGCAGCTTTCGCCTGCGAACTCTTTTGTGCCTCCGCTTTGCGCGCGGCTTTGGCCTTGGCGATGCTCTCCCTCAGCGCGCTAGAAGATTTCGACACCTTCCTCGTTTCCATTTCCGACTGCTGCTCTGGGGTTAGGTCTGAGGAGGTAGATTTAATCGACGGTGACCGTGTTCCCACTGAGAATGGCATCTGTGTTGAGGGCTTCGGTTGTAATTTTCGTGTTTTCTTCACATCGAGGACTTGCTGTGGGACAGAGTGGGTTACTCTTGCGGAGGGCCTTCTCAACTTCGAGGGGCTGTCTGTGGTGGAAACGAAATCTTGATCGCCCAGTGCATCGTTCGCAGACAAAGATGGGCCGGACCTTGACGGGAGACGGATAGAAGACATGGAAGATGGCGGGCGAGCAAGAAAGTCAGCGCCGCTAGGTTGGCGAGAAGATGACCGGGACGGTGACCTCGAATAGCTGGTCATGGTAGACGGTGGACGAGACGGCGAACGCATTGGGCTAGTTGCGCCGAAGAAATTGGACTGTCGGCTTGAAGGTCTGGGCGAGTGAGGAATCTGGGCCAGAGTCTCGATTGTTCGCTCGGCGAGTGATGGCCGTGTACTGTTACGGCCTCGAGGTTCTGCCTCATAGGCGGTTGTTTTGTCGGCTTCAAGATGAAGGGACCGATGTGACGCCCCATCAGCTTCCGATATCCCCCCATCGCTCGTCCCGGTCTGGGAAACATCTCTTCGTTGTCGGTGGTCGGGGAATGGTTTTCTGGGCACCGTATACTTGGGCAAAGGCTTCTTAAACACAGGCTCTTGGGAAGGCCTGCGTAGCCTGTTGGCGTTGAGGCCGGGATCGGTTTGTAGCTTCTCTCGAGATGGCGAAGGGCGCACTGATTTATCGGCGGCCGACGTCGGTAGAGGTAACCTGGAGGTTAATCGAGGAATCCCACTCGGTCGGACCGGGGTTTTGTGCTGGTTCTCCATGCTTGTATGGCTTGCAAGTGGCGGTTGGCCTTGGTTCGGTTCGGAAGATCAAGGTGGCACGTTCACAGATAGAGTAAGCTCATGGTGGCCAGTATTATCTTTATGGTATGGGGGGGCGGGCAGTCCGAGCAGCAGGGTGCCACACTGCTGATCCAGGGAGGGGGGCCAGGACAAAACTTCTCTGGCAGTTGGGGCCGTGATAAGCAACCAAAAAGCTGGGGGGGGGGGTATAATCATTGATTGAGTGATGTGATTGCTTATTATTATTGTTTACAATGTCCAAGTTCTTGACGGGGGGACCCATGTTGGGTGCCTGAGGCTGGCATCTTTTTTTCCCAGCCGGCAACCGCTCCCATTGGGCCAGTGCTTATTCAGCCGGATCCGCCTCCGCCCGATCCGAAGACCCAGGGTTCCTTCCTTCCTGGCCAGGCACCGGCTTGCATACTCTTGACCGGATGAGGATGATGATGATGATGATGATGATGATGATGATGATGATGATGATGATGATGATGATGAATAGTTTCATGGCTGGATCCTGTACTCACTGACAAATTAGTGTGTGTGTACATATGCACTGCTTTGTACGCCGTACACAGACTGGATTGATTGCCAGAGATACCTACCTGTTCGGTGCCAGAATCACTGAGCATGACCACCGACTTTGCTATATCCTCGGGATAATAATTGATATTATGGAGAAGTGCCTAGTAGTTGAGTGTCCTGGCCCCGGTCTCATCTCACCTAGGCTTCTAGATACCTTCTTGGGTACACCCCTCCACCCCCTTCCACTTATTACTATGTAGGGAGGTCCCTGCATTGGAAATAGTACTACAGAAAACCAGGTACTAGAGATATACCACACTCTATAATCTGTTTGAAGTCTGCTGTCGGTTTGTATCTGTTTGTATCTTACCTACGGAGTAGAACCATCACCATACTGTAGGTATATATGCCGGCCGTTGCCTGAGTGACCATCCGGCTGGCCTGTCAGTGTTTACCTGGCCGAGCACCGTCGATCTTCGCGCTAGCCGGAGCCGGAAAGGGGGTGGTCTAGCGCGCGGCTGGGCTCACGTGGCTATGGGAGGTTGGACGTGGTTGGTCGAGGCTGAGCACTGCAAGCGACTTCCCAGCCTCCCCCCCCGATGTGCGCAACGCTCGCAACAAACATCCTTAAGGCATCAAACCGTCCCTCCGTCGCGCTCCTTGCTTCTCCCCCCATCTCTTCCACCTGTTCCTTCCATGCTTCGAGTCCCTTTGCTCCCCTTACTCCCCCTTCCACCTTCCATCGAGCTTCCATACCTCGCCGTTTCACCTCTTCCGCCCTCAGCTCCTCCTACCCCCAGCTCCTTATCGCCCAAGTACTCCGCACCTTCTCCTTGCCTTTGGTCGAACGTGGCTCAGCAGCCCTATCAGTGATAAGCGCACCGACCTAGCTAGCTGCCCGTCACAGCTCGACTCAAGTGACATTCGCTCTTCGGTGTTCCCTCCGGCCCATTCCACCCCGGCCTCTACGATCGCTTCGTCCCTAAATACGAAGTCCCTCAGGGGTCCACTGCCACCGACCCGGCACCTCAGCTTCAGCCCGGTCCGACCCTTGGAGACGTCCCTTTTGATCGATCGTGTTTCGGATCCGGTATGCGCCTTACCGCCCGCAACAACCATCGTCCAACGCATTGATGCGGCTAATACTGACTTATCCTCCTAGTGTGGATCCTCCTGCTCGCGGATATCATCTATCGGGTCCCACCATTGCCGCTGCTCCTTTTTTTGTCATGTCGCAAGGGCCTGATTCGCAGTTCTCGCAAGGTTCACTTGCCCCTCCCGCTGAGATCTCCGGTCCCACAACTCCCATTCGACGTGCAAGTCTATCTGCATCCCCAGACTTGAGTGCAAGGGCCGGAAGCCAGGCATCGCATTCCGATAAAAGCAAGTTTATATCGCCTCCATCGCTACCTTCCTCCGATATGACGCCACCTCCCTCAACACAAATTCCAGGGGCCCCTCTCCGACACTCAAGATCTCGCTCCACTTCGTCCCTGGCTTCTGCACCAGATATCGAGAAGACACTTTGCGTTGCATACGGCGCTTCCGAAAACCTTCCAACCGCTGATGAGATTGACACTGCGGACGAGGCTAAGCTTCGGGCAGTCGCCAAAGAACTGTTAGGTGTTGCCCAAGAGGCTCGCATGTCGGCGCTTCACTTCAAGCTGCAGAACAGTCTGCTATCGTTCACAAGCAACGAAGCCATTAAACGGGCCGAAGTTGAGCATCAATTAGCGAGAAGAGAAGTCGAGATCCTCCAAAGCTCGGAGTATCGCAGTCGCCATTATCAGACCGAAGTCAAGCCAGTGCAGCAAGTTTCAAACGTGGATTTAGAGCTTGCCCTCAAGCGTAATCAAGAGCTGGAAAGAGTGAATGCCACCCTCGATCGAAGACTGCGTCGAGCTAAAAAGTTGATTGAGCAAGAGAAGGAGAAGTCCGACATCCTGAGGGAAGAAAACAACTTGCTGAAGGGGCGCATCAGGGACAACCGAAAACATTTCTCTCAGATGATCGAGCATGGTCCAATGTCACCAAGCCCTCAAAGAGAGGTCCAGGCGTCTCACCGAAGACACTACCCCCAATTTGCAGATAGCAGCAGCCACCAGATGAACGGGGGTGACAGCCACAACCCGTTCGCGGCACTTCTGGCTGCGGATCGTGTCCTCAACCGAGAATCACCGAGTGTTGCAACCACGCCCAACAGACATCGTACTTATAACCAGAATACCGAGGACCACATGCGTGGGAACCATTCGTTGTCATCCCTACCCATGACTCCATCCCATCCTCGGATGGCCCTCGAGGAGAACCGATGCAATACATCCGGTATGGACTCTTATGGTACCCATCGCGATAGGGATAGCACCATATCAGCATCCGACGTTGAAGAAGCCGAAACCGAAGAAGATATCCCCGCGTCGGAGGCTGGAACATTGGCTAGTAGCATGCTTCGTTCCCACACCCTTGGTAGTCATCATGGAACCCGAGGCGTGGCGAATGCACCAAAGTCCAGCACTCTCTTGCAAACGAAACTGTTTGGTCAGGTGAAGAAGGCCGGGGTTGAGCGGCCGCCAACTAATCTTAAACGCAAGGCGAGTTTTGATGGTGCGACCTCGAAGAAATCGAAAGCGGAGGAAAGAGTGGGTCTCGGTATTGACACATGGAATAAATAAGCCTGACCCGTGCACTACTACACGTACCATCGGTGCATGTACTATCGTTGCACCTGTTACTCGATGAGATTGGGCTGTTGAAGCTGTCTTGTTTCTGAAGGCCGGCTTTACATCCTGTCTTACGCCAGATGCGAGTTGACTTTATACCCTTGTACTCTTCCTCTCTCAAACCCCCGTTTCCCTTCGGGGAGACGTGATGACTGATGATGTTATGTAAAGACTGATGGGTGAAGCGGTGTTTTTCTAAGGGGTTTGGTTTGGGTCTTTTCGCAGGGATTGTATCAAGCAGTGATCGATAGATGACTTTCAAATATTCGGGCTCTGCCGTGACGGCACGATGTGATTCTTCGTATGTTCAGTGTTACTGCCCGTTATGATGCAGTCCAGCTTCCTACGGAGGTAGTATAGCCAGTGGTGCCTATCATCATCTACCGAAGTGCCAAGGACTTGGGAGATCTAACGGGCAGTACGGAGTACGGAGGAGTAACCGGTGTAACAGCCTAACAGGGCTCCATCTGAAGTGTCTCGCCTTAATTGGGTGGAAGTACCTAGGTGGTACCTAGTAGTATTCCGTAGGTATATGTAGTAGTTAGATAGTAGCTATCTACCACTGGTATATAGGTACCTTGGATAGTAGTAGGTCCACGGTGGTAATAATAGTAGTTAGTCCATACGCGGTTAATTTTTGAGACTAGGTACTGATGTAAGGTTGTAATGGGAGGTACGAAGTACTATGGTTCCATCGTTCAGTACTTACAAAGACACACTTTCAAAGGTACATAATAATCAGACCCCCCGATATCTGTCTTATGAGGATAATGCATCACCAGTACCATGATGTACCAGTGATGCTTTCTTCTTGGACGGTAAAAATAAAATACAGTCCAACGTATCGATGCTGTACGAACCACCCAGAGAAAAGCCGGGGGAGGGAAGGCAAGAAGACACCTTCCGGAACAGGTAAGCAGGGTAGGGCTCGCTAAGCGAGGCGAATGCGGCTCTGCGCGGGTTGGCCACACCAAAAAAAGTTCCACCTAATACTGAGACGAGGAGTTTTGAGATACGACCAGCAACCACCCACGACGACGACGACAATCTCCCGGCCTTGATCCCCATCCGTCACAATGGTGCGTTATGCCCCCCCCCCCATGAAGGCCCGATATCATCGCCAGCTGCATCATGCGATGATTCGGCCCTGCTTTCGACGAAATTCGACCCCGTATGCTGACCAGAGACCTGTTGGGGGATATAGGCGATCAAGCACAACAACCAGATTCTCAACCAGCGTGAGTGAACCCGCACGATAAAAGGCTGCAGTGGTATCTGGGAGACGGACAATCGCAGGGAATTCAATGGACTGACGGGTTTTTGATTTCAGACTTCCACAAGGACTGGCAGCGTCGTGTCCGCGTGCACTTCGACCAGGTACGCCCTCGAAAAACCCTTACCCGATTCCCATGACGAACGACTCGAACTGGAAGAGGGCGAAAATTTTTTCTTCATGTTGCGGTGGACTGACCTAGTTTTTTTTTCCTGCGATTCAATAGCCTGGCCGCAAGCACCGCCGTCGTGAGGCCCGTCTCGCTAAGGCTGCCGCCGTTGCTCCTCGTCCGGTTGACCAGCTGCGCCCCGTTGTGCGCTGCCCTACCGTCAAGTACAACCGCCGTGTCCGTGCTGGCCGTGGTTTCACCCTTGCTGAGCTGAAGGTAAATCCGTCCTGATGATTTGAAAAATCGGAATTGCCCTCTGCGACTGGGTACACGAAGATGGATGGAGGCTTACAGGAGAAATTCTTTCGCACCTTTTAGGAAGCTGGTATCCCCAAGAAGCTCGCTCGCACCGTTGGTATCGCCGTCGACCACCGTCGTGTCAACTACTCCAAGGAGTCGCTCGTCGCCAATGTCGCCCGTCTCCAGGACTACAAGGCTCGCCTGATCCTCTTCCCCCGCAAGAGCGGTCAGTTCAAGAAGCTTGACTCGTCCGCCGAGGAGGTTGCCGCCGCCAAGGCTGCCTTTGCTGAGGGCAAGTCCGAGGGCTTTGTCACCCGTGTCGGTGCCACCCTCCCCATCAAGAACGTCTCCGCCGAGGAGGCTGTTACCGAGGTCAAGCGTGACGACCTCCCCAAGGGTGAGGAGGCCGCTTACCGCCGGCTGCGTGAGGCCCGTAGCGAGGCCCGCTACAAGGGTGTCCGGGAGAAGCGTGCTAAGGCCAAGGCTGATGAGGAGACTGCCGCCAAGAAATAAATTTGATTCACAGCTAATGATGATCGGGTCAATTTTCAAGTCGGTGATTAGTACACTGTGGCATGGCGTCGCTCCTCTATTTCCGTTTTCACCTTTGTCCTTAACATAAAAAGCTCCGAACCCCTCGAAATGCAAATGTCCCAAATTTCATGCCCCAGCCTATCCTACTAGGTCCTCTGCGCCAGATTAGTGATTCGTTCGTCCCCTGTGTTCGTTCTGTTCCTTGGGCGGCGCTATGCCGTTCCTTGTCGCAATTGGTGTGTCGTGAAGGTGGCAGCGTTTGTGTGGACCTAACTTGCCTCCGTGTGAGCGCCGCGCATCCTGTCGTAGTCACTCGCCAATCTCCCTTGTTTACGTCCGCGTTGAACTGGCCAGCCCTTCCGTCCGAGACACGGCTATCGAACACATTGCTCGATAGGCCTGGAGCATGCATGGGCATTAGGCAAGCTTGCATGTAAATGTGATGATCAATCAATGAAGACGTCTTGATTTAGCCCTTGCGCTTCAGTACTTCGCTCCAAGTAGAACTTTGCACATCCAGTATCTTTCATAAAGTACGAACATCACCATCTGGATTGCTTGGTGGGTCAGTCCACACTTATCAGTCTATCAGGAACAACAACAATCTGGACGTTTATGATTATTCCATTCAATCGTATAAACTATGTATGTGTGTTCAAACAGTGCAAGTCATCGCTTATTCCAAAAATTCGATATCCATATCCAAGACTGTTGTCGGGAAAACGAACAAGACGTGGTAAAATGAGAAGTTGGAAAAAGATCCTGTGGACTAATGGCGTCCGGCAAACCCTGCTGCCTCCGTACTCGAAAAACGCCGTGGCCATAACATGAGTTCATGTGACCCATCACCAGCGCAAAAGCACTCACTGGATCGAGACTCATTGCTCAACATCAACGCCAACACCAAACAATGCGCCCAAAGTACATTCCGTAGCCTGAATTACCACATCGGCATAGGAATCGCTACGACTGCTTCCTGTGTCATTACGCTTGCTCTCCTCCAGCATCGCTTGAAACAGTCTCTTGGACTCTTGTTCGACCTTGTGCCCGGAGTCGCCGTCAGATCCAGGCAACACCGACACACTAATCCCCGCTGCCAGTTCAGGTTCACATGTCCATTCGTCCATGATCAGTTCGCAAGACAGAAGTAGTTTTACTGAACCTCTTTTGGATTCGAAAAGCATTGAAGTGCGCTCGATATGTGGTAGTATGTGTCGTAGGTCTGATGTCTTGAAGGGCTTGGCATTGTTATTCCACTGCGAATGGCCAGAGATCACCGCCGCATGTTGCTTTTCCATGTGGGACCACAACTCAGCCCGCGATACTAAAGCCTCCCAGTAGCGATTGATGCCCCAACAAAGCCCCGAGACATCCAGTCTCAGTAGCGGGTTCGCAAGCCGGGAGTCTATCCACCGCCATAGATACTCCGGTATCCTTGCGTCTGAACCTTCCGCCGGCGATAGCACCGATAATGAGACTAAGCTTTGTATTCCCGGGTCAACATCGTACGTCACTGAGATTTTGTAGCGGATGGAAGGGAATGGAGGTGGGGCGGAAAATTTGAGGGTATGTCTATCCACGAGGTCAGGCGCTGATGTAGAAATGGAAGGTGAAGATGCGGCAAGGTTCAATGGAGCCAAAGCTGTCAAATATTGTTCTGTCTGTGCATGCTCTTGAAGTGCAAACGGGTTTATCAAGGGGGTTTCTGGTGGATGTTGTGGGGGACTTTTGACGGCGAAAGGGAGTAAGGAAGATATTAGTGACGATATTGACGCATCATTTGAATGATACGTTGTCTGGGCCGGTTGGATAGGATAAACTGTTGCCAACAAAGCACTATCGACAGGTCAGTAGCTATTATTGTCACGAAATTTGGGAGACCCTACGTAAGTTTGGTCAGATCAGGATCACTGTTATTATCGCTTTTATTGTTTTTGTTGCTGCTGCTGTCGAGATCATCTTGGCCGAGATTTTTTGACCATGTCTCCAGTTCCGCAACGTCCTTCTTCAACTGCTGCAATTCAGAAAGAAGCGCGCCTCTCAACTTGCGCTTCTTTAAGGTGGGAGCCGGAAAGGACGCCCGATCCAGCGCAAGCCCTGACTGTGCCGATTCTTCTGACCCGCCGTGGTCGACACTCCTAAGCTTGGACGGAGTTTGATCCGGACCTTCTGTGTTTCGTCTCCCCCATGTCCCTTGTTGTGAGCTAGGGCTGCTGCTCAAGAGCCCCTTCGGTCGGCCGGGAGGCCTTTCCAGGCCTAGTTGAGTCGGTGTTGGAGGAAGATCCGGCTCATCGAGTATTTGTTGGAAAGACGGCTCATTGAGATCGCCGCTCAGATCCACCTCCGCAGTTGCACTATCCAACTCAGATGCCAGTTGGTTTTCTGGCGTGTCGATCGGGGTGGCTTCCGCTATACTTTCTTGAGTCGCAACTGGGGATCGAAATATTAGGTCCGAGGCGGTTATCCTTGTCGAGACCCGTCGAGGGGGTGCAGCAAAAGCCCCCAGTCCGCTGGACCGGCGGCCTGAAAGGGAGGATGCCGGTGATTGCTTATTTCGCTTGAGAGGACCTAGAGGACTGGCGGCAGAGGTCAATGATGGCCTGAGAGCCTTCCTGTCTCGTAGTCCCAGTGCCCTCGTTCCGGCCTGTTTCACTTTCCGCGGTATTTTCCCGGGAGATCCGCCAGCACTTCGCTCGAGGATCACGGGATGGGATCTAGCTAAGCTTGGTCTTGTTGGGGCTTGGTACGACACACGCTTGATGGTGTGCTGTTGGGGCCCATCTCGAAGAGGAGGCGGGGGGTTCATTTGCAACTCGTCGACAGCAATCCCCGTCGGACTGCCGGGCTTTCCGTGGGTGCAAAGGTGAGGAAGAGAGCAGGTGAACCGTGCTCTGGAAAGCCAGAACCTCCGGAGAGAGGACGAGGACGACGAGGAGAGGAGCACGGAGACGAAGAAGCCTCCGGGTTGGCCAGCCGCGATCAACAACATCCATCTCGGGCGGTTTGCATTGTTTGCCATGGGGGCGGGCAGTAACTACTAGTAGTAGTATGACATAACCGCCGCGGGTTTCATTCATCCCTGCCCTGCTGCTCGACATCTCCACCACCACCACCATGGAGCGTCCTTGCATGGCGATCCGCCCCTCTCTCCTTTTTCGAAGATGGCTCTGCCATTCACTCAACTTTCGCGTACCGAGTCCATCGCTGTTAGTCCGACCACAGCTCATCTCCCCGCATGCACGCCGCACCCACGCTCATGAGTATGCCACTCTCCACGATGAAAACGCCGGAGGAGCCGACTCAAGAGCCCCTCAAGCGCATCCGCTCTCAGGCTATTACCACGACATTCTCTCCACTCGCTCTCCCTACGGGGATCCAGTGAAACCTACGCACCAGCCCGAACAGCCCACACAACCGGCGCCGCCCGAGCCGCAAACACCGCAGGACAAAATGTCGATCGTCTTTGGTACTCGACTGGCAGGTCCTGGCCGCACGTCTCGTTACAACCCCGGCTCAACGCCAGACGCGGTATGGAAGACTATAAATGGAGTCGCGATCCCGCCGCGGCCGGAGGAGCCCGACAATTGCTGCATGAGTGGCTGTGTCCACTGTGTATGGGATGACTACCGTGACGAGCTTGAGGAGTGGGCTGCAAGACTGGACCAGGCGAAAACAAAGCCTGTCACGCAAAGTCACGCTACGGATCTGCGGCACACCCCGAGGGCTGAAGTCGCTACAGCCAGCAGAAGCATGGAGGACGACGGTGGTGGCAGTGAGACGAATTGGTCGCCACCGGATTCGAGCGAAGATTTGTTCGCCAATATACCCGTTGGGATCCGGGAATTCATGAAGACAGAAAAGAAGTTGAAGCAAAGACATCAGGAGGAGGGCCACACATGAGGAACCGCTTCAATTTTATTATTTACGACTACGCCGTGTCGCACAAGCTCGGTAGAATCAGTTGGTGGCGGTGACCGTGGACCCTGTTTGTACATAGAAGGATAGATAGACCATTAGGTGTAGGATATATATATCGGGCGATTTGGTCGGGGACTTGAAGATATGCCGGGGTTCGGTTCGTTCCTCGAAGGTGGGGGTGGGTAAATGAGAATGCGACAAGCCGATAAGGCAAGCGGTACGGAATATACCCGGGCTCGATACGCTCTGCCACTCTGTTCCGCCTTGCTATCGCAAAAAGTTCCCTCGTCTCTTGCCCGCACGAAACAATCCCAGGCAATCAATCGGACGCCAAATCACAATGGCAACGTCCAAGGCGGAGACAGACATCATTCTCAACAAGGCAAACGTGGCACTGGCCCGGAGTCAGCGGCTCGTCGCATCATGGCTCCCCCCGGCAACGACGGAAGACCAAGCCAACATTAAATCCGAAGAGGAGCTGCAACGGGAAGAAGATGAGATTTTCACAGCTGTCCCTGAGACGTGAGTGCTTGAGTTTGCGGAAGGGAGAAGAAGACCTGCCTGCCATATCATGGGCCGTGCTAACTCGGCGCAATCTAGTCTAGGAGTCGGAGCGCCTCTCCCCACTAAAGCCGCGGATGGGAGCTGGAACCGGACCGAATTAGACTCAAATGATAAATTACGAAGGCAGCTCCTCGGAAAGAACTATAAAAAGGTTATGACCGCAAAGGGAAACACGCCTGCTGGCGCTGGCGCCGTGAGTCGACTTCCGGTGAGCGGCGCTTCGTCCAGCACCACAAAAGACGTGGAAGACGAAGATGACGAAGAAGAAGGGCGGACAGCATTGATAGGAAAGAAAAATGCTATCTCCTCCAAGAAGCGGAAGGCTGAACATCGAGTGCGGCCGGTCTCGGAGCCATCTAATGATCAAAATAGCAAGACGAAACAAATCAGTGGCGATGATGACGATGGCGACGAGATCGATAAACCCAACAAGCAAACGGGGCCGTTAATACAACCGTCGAGGGGTAGAAAGAAAGCCACGAGCTATTTAGATGAAATATTGGCCGAGCGGTCGAAAAAAAGAAAGAAGAGATGAGATGGTATCATCCAGGATCATTGAGAAGGGCTCGATGGATGGTACAATTTTGCACGCAGTTCAAAATCATAAAAACACCAACATATCCGCTTGGTACCGTTTAAATAAGACTGGCAATGAGGAAGTCTGAAAGACTATGATCTAGCCTTGCAGTAGGATATCATTTTGGATTCGCCATTCTAAATTACTATACCCCAGTAATACTGTGCACCGCCCAACCCGGGGTATATAATATAATAACATATGCAGTGGCTAGGCCTTGGAGCGCTGGTCTGTGCAAGGCCGCCCCATCATTGAAAATTCTGCAACAAGGAGCACACGGGGCTAGGCAGCCCCGGTGTCTGATGCGACTGAAGCCACATCGAGTACACCCCGGCATCCATGTTGCCTGAGAAAAAAAAATTAGTTCCATCCAAACCATGCCAGGAAGCTCGGGTTACTGAAACCCACGGATGTTGTATCAATTGTACAGTAGATGACCCCACCCAAAAGAAGATAAACATAGAAATTATAAATGGGCAATACTCCAGATGATGCAGTACCGGTCCAGAAAGGAAGAGTAAGGGAGGATGCGCTTTTTACATTTCAATTCGCTTTTCCTTTTCATGTTTCTCTTACCTCTCCCCCCCCCCCTCCCCCGATGAAAACATGCACCCCTAGGAACAATGTACTGATGGCCTCAGGCCCGGAGGAAGGACGATGTCATAAATCCCCACCACCCCAACTCTCTCATGAGATTCCTCCGTGAGCAAAACGGTCAGTTGCGTCCTCGGGGTCTATTCCAACCGCTTTCTTTTTCTGTCGTCGGCCATGGCGTGTTGGTCTTCATCTGGTCGTTCCGCAGTGTCGGCTGGGTTAAGAAGGGAATGGACATTGCTTGCCATGCTAGAACGTCGTGTTGCAGGCAAGGATGATTCGTGACGAGGAAACCTGGGCCCTAGAGGCCAACCGTTATCGGTGGCGACGGATTGATCAAGGTGTAGAGGTGGAGTGGCGTGTCGAGAGGTTCCCTGAAGACGTCGTGGCGCGCCCATGTCATACTGGGCCAGTACGTCCCGGACCTGCTGTTCGCTCGACGTCGGAGTCCGATGTCGTGACGGGGACCAAGGACTCGCCGGCCCATGGGAAGTTGGAAAAGGGGATACTCCCGGTGGCGGCCAGCCGTGCTGTCTGATGTCTGCCGAAGTGTGTCGACGGGCGAGGTTTGGCCCTGGTGGAGAGGACACGGACGACAGAGGATGGGGCATGGGATGTTGCGGCGTGATGACGGACGGGACTTGCGGGCGGCTATAGCTGGGGGAAGAGTTTCCGGTACCAATGGAGCCATAACGACGAGGTGAGACAGCTAGATGGGGGGGTACGGGCGGTCGAATCATGTTGGGCCTCGATGGATCCATCACCGATGGGCGACGGCTGTCTTCTTGGGGTATCTGGCGCGGAGACAGTGGCGGGCCTGCATCAACAGCTATATTGGCGACGAAAGGTTGTCGGACGGCCAGATACGGGTCTGGAGGATGCTCCAGGGCTCGAACAGCATCAAGATGCTTTTCCAGTTCGGCCTGCATGCTGGCCACTGTTCATAGTTAGGGTTTGAGTACCGGAGTGTTTAACCGAAAAACTCACCATCTCGGTACAAAAGGCTCTCGCGATCTGGAATCATGCTTCTCAGAGCCCGTGAAATCGAGAGAGTCCACTGAGTCACAGTGCGGGTCAGCGTGATCGCCCTATATGCATATCGCACGCTGATCTGAGTCCCCTAACTTACGTGATGGCATCTGGTCAAACTCTCGGTCATTGCCTGGCACCTCGCATTAAGCGTCACATTCCCTTCTTCGGCGCGACTTAGACGGGCGTGCATGTCGTACATGGAGTGTTCCAGGTTCATCAAGCGCGCCTCGGTGGCATCTGGTACAGGCTCAGCTGGGGTGCCAGGCTGGGAAGTAGCGGTCTTGTGGCCTGGGAACGAATCGCGATGAATCAAGGCATGACGGGATGCACGCCGCTTAATTTCGCGTAATCCGACGAGGTCACCCCGTTTAAAATTGCCATTGCCGTGTTTGAACTCCCACAACGCGGAATCGGGAGAACCGGTATGAAATACGTCGCTCACTGGTGTCCATGGTACATCAATAACGGTGCGGGCAATGCATCTGCTGTATCAACCAGCATACCTTTATGAAACCCGTACATATTCAGCTGTCTGACAAAGGACGAGATGTTGGTGTGCTTGAAGTATTGGCTGGTTGACTCGTTAGCAACCGGACTGGACTGACGATTGCGATAGGCCGAGATAGGAGGGGAAACTAACGCGAGGACTTTAGAGAATTCGGACGTGGGGGACATGACAAAGCTGTCGTTCGTACTCGACCACGAGATGAGATGTTGGATACCAGGATCTTCCAGCATACTGCGCAGCGTTATCAGCGACTACAATCGCGATAGGGGAAGGGGGATGTAAAAATCGTTGGCAGTCCGCCGACGTACTTGTAGAGCTTATGAATGAAAGCGGTCTGGACGACCTTGGGCTGTTGAGCTGCGGCGGCAGCTCCGATGGCCTGAATGGGGGTGACATGGTGGTTCACAGTCGCAGGTTCAGCAGAGCCATTGGAGGTGGCAGTGGTGATGTTTGCGCCCAGTCGATCGCTATCGGGGCTGCTATGGACGGGGGGCGCAGCGCCCGAGGCAGGAGGAGTGACCTCCATGGGATCACCGGCGGACTGGGTGGAAGCTGGAACGGAGGAGGCAAGGACAGGAATCTTTCGGGTCTTGCCCGGCGCATCGATAGCACCACCAGGGATGAGGAGATTCCTAGAGGGGGGATCGGCGAGACCACTCATCTCGCGCGGCGGAACAGGGGAGGAGAAAAGGTTGACGGCAGCCGAGGAGGAGCCGCAGGAGAGCAGGCGGAAATTGCGTCGGTCGGTCGATCGGTCGGTCGGTCGGTCGGTCGGTCGGTCTTCTTCTGCTTCTGTTGTTTCTGCTGCTTCTGCTGCTGCTTCTGCTTCTTGTTCTTTTCCCTTTTCAACTCTGGTTTTCCAAGATACAGTCAAGGCCCCTCCATCTGAAAAAGAAAAAGAAAAAGAAGAAGGGAAAGGGAAAAGGGGGAGGTGACAAATAGGGAGGAGGAAGGTAATGATGATCAAGTAGTAGATGGATGAGGAAGAATAATAATCAAAAAAAAAATTATTATATAAAAAAGGTACAGGGAGAAGTTAAGAAGAAAGAAAGAATGAATCAAGGAAATATCAATCCGATAGAGAAGTATAAGATCAATTTGTGTGAAAAGAAGAGGGAAGTAGATAAGAAGAGTGGCGATGGGAACAACCAGTTCCCTGAGTAGCAGGACCCCCCAATGTGGATATGTATGTGGATCTCGACCGGGGTTTAGAAAGGGGGAGGGGGAAGAAGGAGGAAGAGAAGAAAGAGAAGAGAGGAGGAACGTGAGAATGATGGGGAAGAGGAGCGAAAAAGAAGAAGAGCAGGATAGGGAGCTGAACGGGTGGATGGGTGGATGGGTGGGTGGATGAATGGAATCAATCGAAGGCGAGACAAGCTTGAGAGTCTGGGCCGGACGAACTGAGGATCAACAACCCGCCTCCCGAAGCTTCGTGAGCATCTCGATTATTGGTCAGTCCCGAACCTGTTTCTTTCGTTCTCTCTCTCTCTTTTTTTTTTCTTTTCTTTCTGGATCCTTGGGTTGTTCTGTTCGCCTTCCGATCGCTGCTGGTTCTGTAGATCCATCCCAGATGCATCCATAATTTAGATTCATACCTAGGTAGTAAGTACTACGGCGACTTCTACGGAGTAGGTAGGTGCAGAATACTATAGCGATATCTACTGTGTGTGTGGTATATAAGCTAGAAGCTATAAGTTATACTAGATGGAACCTTGTAGGTCGTCGATACCTTTATGTGTCCTATTGAGATCATCACAAGGGTACTCCGTACTTACTACCACCTATGTATATAGTGCTTAGTAGCGGTGGATGATGTTGGGTTGCTCCTTCCCTCCAAAGGCGCGTGCTTCCGGGCCCTGCATAGATAAAGAGAGAGAGAGAGAGATCTCCTCCTCTGCTCTCCCCCCTCCCCACTCTCTCCCCTCTCCCTACCCCCCTCCAAAACCAGACTTCCACTCCGCCATGGATTTATCAGATTCTTCGACCATCCAACAAATCATCTCCCTGTTCTCCCTGCTCCCCTCAACTTCAGCTCGACTTGCTGCGTAGGCGCCCAGCCATCATCCTGCTTCCTTCCTCCGATATTGGCCATTCAGCTCATTCGGTACGAAAACAGATGCCACCAGATCCTCGACCAGCTGAGCCCCCACGAATGGCGTGATGCGCAAGTGCGCATCAACCAGCGGTCCTTTCAAAGGGATATCTTGGGCGAATCTCCGCCGGAGGTTGCAGTTCAGATCGCCCAGCACCTCGGCCTCGCCGAGCTCCACGTACTCCAAAGGGTAAGCAACCTACCTAATGGGCATGCGCCATCGGCGGCATGACAAGACTGATATCAGCCACGCCTTTCCAGGTCTCCAGAAAGTGGCATCGGTTACTGTCATCGGACCTGGTCCGTGGAACAGCATACCAGCAGTACACCGGGTGTGTAGGCATACATGTCGCAGCAGACCAGTTCATTCACTATGCCAAACAGAGGTTACGCCTGGAGCGCGGCCTGCCCGTCTGTAAGATCCTGGATAGAGATCTTCCCCCGCCCCATGACTCAAACTTCGACTGTCTGGATTACGCCAATGGGAACTATGCCTGGCTGGAGAACAACACCCACATCGTCGTACATGACCTCCGCAAGCGCAAAGTCCGGCGTTTCTGCACCGAGAACCGAGATTCCCTCAGGGATGTACGTCTTTCTGAGTCCATGGTCGTAGCAATCAGTGTGCGTGCGTAAGTATCATAAACTGAGGCCGAAACCCAAAATGGCGTTGTCTGCCCCCAATATGCCCTTGAACGGACGTATAGCTCATCTGTATCTAGATACTGCCATGCCTGGAACCTTGAAACGGGAGACCATGCGTCATTCCGCATCCCAGCCCTTCATTTTCGGGCTTTTGTTGCCCGTGGTATGAAGGTTGCCCTGGGGTTTACCTACCCCTCAATCGCCGGAGATGAATATATCATTTACTGGGACATGGACTCTCGGGTGGCACGCAATATCGGGGTCGCACCTAACCTGGTCCTCATCGGCCTACAATCAGCCACCAACAGCCTGAGCACCCTCCATCTCGAAAGAAACAATATCGTTCAAGGCCGGGGTCAACTGTGCCATAATGAGAGGCTACGCGTCGTAAAGCATAGCCTCGAAAACCATGGACCCGTTGACAGCCTTTTATCCTATATATTACAACTGCCGGTCCTTGCAGAGTTTGATTGGCGCGTTTTGACGCTACACAATATATCAAACGACGCCAGTGGCCGACTGGCGGTCTTCTCCTGCGAACCACCCGTATCCGGTGTGGCATCAACCAACCCTAGCTATGTCGTTGTGGCCACCTACAACCATAAGACTGATGAGATGTGTTTGCACGGGCTAAGCCCCAAGGACACGCCATATCATCCCTTGTGCATGGCCGCTGTGGATCGGGGCCTCCTGTACTATGTAAAAAACGATAGGGGCAAGCCAGTCATTTGGATTTCTGAGCCAGCATCTCCCATCTCTCATCGCCCGGCCGCAGCCATGGATCCTGGGTTACCTAGAGAAGCCACGACTAGAGTTTACTCGTATGCCACTCGCTTCGCTCTCCGGGGTGACCGGGAGTTTGTCTTGATGATCAATGAAAACGATGTGAAAGTGTGGGGGTTTGGAGACACGGCCATTTCCGAGACTGCAGTTCCGACCGCAACCACTTGAAGACCATCAATCTTGGGTGATTCAATTTTAGATTCTGCTACACAGGCATATTGGAGTCTGCCAGAAGATTCTATCACTGAGCCCCTCGTTTCTAACACCAAGGATAAAGAATACATTAACAAAGAAAAGTGAACTAAAAAATGGACGATATACAGGACCATCAATGCTCTCTATACGAATCCCTTTCTTACTCTCGACCAGATCCATCTCATTCTACCATTATAACAATTCGTTCAAGCACCACCGTGACCGATCATGCTCTGGGCAGTAGGAGTGCATTAGCATTGTACCCTAGGCAAGACCAGTGACCATCATGGGCCTATCACATCCCATCTCGTTGCATCATCAAGAAAAATCTTGTTGTATCCCAGTCATGGGAATTATGAACAGGGGTGAGGGAGTGGGGGCGTGAGAGAGTACAAGAGATAATGAAGCAGCATACATAGAGATCCAACTCAGAATTTAGATACCGAGAGTGAATTCAACACCAACATCAATCTCACGCGCCATCTTGACGACCTTGGAGAACTGAACGGACTTCTCAGCAGCACTCTGGAGATCCTCAATAGAGAAGATCTTGAGGCCAGACTCGTTGATCTATACAGACTCATGTCAGCTCGTCATGTTCTTTTTGTGCGATACGTGCCAGAATTAGGTTAATAGCATACCAACTTGTGAGCCTGTTCCATGTTGGTACCCTGCAGACGCGCCACGATAGGGGTGCGCAGGCCCATCTCCTGCACAACGTTGATCAACCCTTGGGCGATGGCATCGCAGCGGACAATGCCACCGAAGATGTTGACGAAGATGGCCGTGACCTTGGGGTCACTGGTGATAAGCTCGAAGGCGGACTTGATAGCGGCGGGGGTGGCACCACCACCGACATCAAGGAAGTTGGCGGGAGCACCACCGTTAAGCTTAATGATGTCCATGGTAGCCATGGCAAGACCGGCACCGTTGACTACAAATACGGTTAGCAGGAGGGGAAGCCAAGAACGATATCGTTTCCTGGGGATCCGTACCCAAGCATCCAATGTCACCATCAAGCTTAATGAAGTTCAATCCGTGCCTGCATCGTGTATTAGAGCGCCGATTCTTCGAACTGTCCACAATCCAGAAGGTGAGTCTCACGTAGCAGCCTTGACCTCATCAGCATCTTCCTGGGTGGTGTCTCTCCAGGAGAACACCTCCTTCTGTCTGAAGTCGGCATTGTCGTCGAAGGCCAATTTGGCATCCATGGCCATGACCTTGTGGTCGGAAGTCTCTGACAGAGGGTTGATCTCGATCTGAGTCGCATCCCTCTCCATGAAGACCTTGTAGAGCTTCTGGATGGTGTCCCTGGCCTCCTCGATGCACTGCTCGGAGAAGCCGAGCTCGGTAGCGATCTTCGTGGCAATCGCATCGGTGACTCCAACATTGATATCGATGGGAGTGGTGATGATAGCGTCAGGGCTCTCTTTAGCAACGGCCTCAATGTCCATACCACCTTGAGACGAGGCAACGATGACGGGACCCTGAGTCTGGCGGTCCATGAGAACAGCCAGGTAGAACTCGCGACGAGCAAACTTGCGCTCGCAAATATACACGGAATTGCAAAGACGGCCACCAGCACCAGTTTGCTTGGTGATGAGCTTTTGTCCGATCATCTGACCAGCAAACATCTTGGCCTCGGTAGGGCTGAAAATTTGTATTTATCAGCGTGGGCGAATGACCGGAACAACACGGGTCACACTCACGAGTAGATCACACGCACACCACCCTTGAGACCATTGTCGAAGGAACCCTTACCACGACCGCCAGCAAGGACCTGGGCCTTGATGACCATGTCGTCGTTGCCTAATATTTCGGTCGCATCTTAGTGGGTGCAACCGCAGATGGGGATGTCGGATCAAAACGTACCGAGGGACTTAGCAACGGCCTCAGCTTCCTCCGCCGAGCGAGCGACCTCACCCTTAGGCATTCCCACGCCATACTGTAGACCTCTATCAGTGAAACCTGCAAGGCGAGATTATAACAAGACCCTGGGTGCCCGACGCACCGATTTGAGGAGATTCGCGGACAGGTATTCGTGAATCGACAGGTTTCTCTGCTGCTGAGCCAGGCGGGACTGAACGGAGGTCTCCTACGGGTGAGCAGTATATCAGCAAGTAAGCTCTGGAATGAGGATGTTGCGAGGTGGAAGGGGGGGCCTTAGATAAGGCGTCGCGCTGGACATCAAAGCCTGGGGAATCTTACCGTCGCAGCCCTCAAAGCTGCCGTAACCGGTCTGCTGCGGGCAAGCTTGAACATGTTGAAATCTCAGTTTGGGATAGAGGAGAGGAGATGGATCACGAGAGGCGCGTCAGGAGGCGAGGGGTGACAAGGGCAGGGGGTATCCTCCAAGGTGAGGTAATGCGGGAGAGGGAGGGAAATATTGGGTGTTGATGGGAGAACAGCTTTCTTTTTCGCGGCGATGATATTGCCTTGAGAGAACGAACGGGCGGTAGCCATCGGGAGTCGGTCACCTGACGGACCAACCAGCGTGCGTCTCGGGATGATTCAGCAGCACGGGAATATCACGGAACGGCGCCGGTACTACTCGTGCTCCGTTGCTTTAGAACTCCTACTTGTGGTTCGCCAGATTGGATACAGCAAATGTCATGGAATAGTAACCTCCGAGGGCATCAATGCAGCAAGACATGAACGGCATCACCCAGCAGAATTTCTCAGCCTGTCAAGTTGGAACATCCGTACCATAACACTCTGAAACAAGCCATTCCACGCCCATCCTCCTACCAGGAACCAAATCACCCAGCTTTTGTTACCTTCCCAGATCCAGTGTTTCCGCCCTTGCGCCCATGGCCAAATCCAACGCCATGGTGCGGATCCGTACAAAACCTGCCTGACAACACTCCGGGCGTATGAAGCGTGTGGCATCGCGCCATCCTGACTATGGGTCACGCGCCGATCGTACTCGTCCTCAATCGGAGCATAGATCGACCCGGGTGCCAATGTGCGTTGGACACGAGCGATCCGAGATTGCACTCCCCCCGTCACCACAGTTGTCACATTCACACTAGAGCACTTGGTATCAGCTACCTGACATGGGAAGGGGAAGTGCGATTTCATACCCAAACGGCGCAAGCTCCACGCGTAAGGAGTCGCTGAATGAGTGCAGGGCCGCTTTGGAGGCGTTGTACACGGACCCGAATACGTAGGGGATTATCTGGGCAAGCATCAGCACATGCGGCCCACCCAAGATTATCGCTGGCCGAACTCACCCCGGCGATAGACCCAATCTGCACAATGGTCCCCTTGGCCTCCATAAGAAGCGGAAGGAAGGTTTTGCACATGGCTATCACGGCAAAGAAATTCGTTTCAAAGGTCGCGCGTGCCTCGGGAAGCTCAACCTCCATTGCCGGCACGGTATAGTCTAACAAATGTCAGGAGAGTTTCCCTCTTGCTGAATTTGCGATGATCACTCTGCATGTACTTACTTCGGCCCCTGTTTCTTTTTGTCAACGTATACTGCCTCTTTGATGGGCGGGACCACTTACGCATTATTGACAAGGTAGTCCAGTCCCTTCTCTCCGAGCTTTGCTTTCACATCCGCAAAGCATTGTCGGATGCTGTCCTCGTCATCTACGACTAGGCTCAAGGTCTCGACTCCAAGTGCTGCCAAGTCTTCAATCGTCTCTGCCTCTCGGGCTGTAGCGAACACGCGAAGGCCATGCCGATGAAACTCGCGGGCAAGCGAGTTTCCTATGCCGCCGGGAGAGCATCTGTCAATATAGGCCTATTAGGATCAAATAGTTGGATATTATGCTGGCGAAGGTTGCGGAGACATCCTTGTACATCTCAGAGACTTACCCTGTGATCAGCACGGACTTCCGCTTGTCTTCGGCTACGGCCATTGCAAAGCGGGGCCGTAGAGGTTTTGGCGTTGGAACTTGGAAGAGGGTGGCTGGAGGAAGATCCAATCCGAAGAGTAGGCAGGATACAGTCAGGATCTCTGGGAAAGAACGGGGCCCTGGAGCATTCCAACAGTCGGGAGGCAGTTATGTACTCACCAATCAGTATATCGGCGCCGATCACACACTAGTTCCGACAGAACCTCGGTATCTATCTGTTTAGGAGTGTCTAGCACAAGGTGCGGAGTTGCTTTGTACTACTACTAGTACTGCTTACTAGGTACTCCGTTCTAGAGGTGCACATGTCCTGGAACACTGCTGAGCTCCCTTCTTCGCAAAGCACCGTGATGGTCAGGCTGCTATCGATTGTTTACTTCTCTAGCAGTCTAAGGGACCAATCAACATCTAATAGGTCACGTACGGAGTAGTACTAAGCGATTGAAACTGTTACCTACTCCGTACGGCCTATTTTGCCTATTTTACCTATTGAAACTCGTGATACGATACAATACTATACCGTAAGATATAAGTACCTCGTACCCACCACTGTCAATCCATCATCCATCGCTTTTTATTTTTTTAGTCCATCTATCTACCTAGAGTAGTACCTAGGTAGCAGGAAGTACTCCGTAGGAAGTGGTGCTTTGATCCTGGCTGGTTGGCTGATCCATATTTCGATACTATAGGTACAGGTACTATAATAGTCCGAACCTGTCCTCTGGACACTCAAAAAAGAAGTGAGCCACTGAGCAAAGGCGGCATAACTACATAGTAGGCAGGTGAATACAGGTAGGTAGTAGGGAGTTTCTCCTATACAATCAATATACGGAGTACCTGGGCACCCCCTTGCTCACTGTAGGCAGGGCTCATTATTATGATATGTCGAGTTGTCCAGTTTCTCATCCCAAATGATTACTCTACCTACTCTACCTTATGTGCACATAACTGGTGCCAATAATCGGTAGGTTCTTCCCGTCTCCCCGCCACCAAAATAGCCCGGCGCGTGCCGATACCCGAGGGCCTGTTACCGTATCTACTTGTTGTTAGGGATGTCCCAGGAATCTTACAAGGCGCTATACCTGCACATACCGGTACTTTGTACGGTATCTAGTAGTACTGAAGTAGGTACTCTGTACGGAGTACTCCGTACCTACTAACTAAAGTAAGTAGGTACTGTTATACTTGTCAACTGTAATGATAGCTAGTTCGCTATGATATGCTGCAGGCGAGCAGCTCTTGTTATATAATAAAAAATATTTAATAAAGCTATTTATAAATAGTAAAGTACTAATAAATAATAATTAATTTAATTAATTAAATAGAAGATCTTTAGATAAGATTATTTATTTATATTATAATAATTATAAATAATAACTACTTATTCTGAAAAAAAATTTTTTTTTTATTATCTAGCCCAATAATTCTCTTCTGCTTTAGTTATTAATTATATTTTATATAATAATATTAATAGTTACTGTTTAATTTACTGACTAGATTTATTTGATAAAGTTATTAATATTATAAATAATAAATATATCTTTATAATTTTATTAATAATAATTCTGATATTATTAGTAACAGCTCTTAATTAATCTAAATAAATATTTATTAATTAATTATATTTTTTTTTATTTATTTTAATTATCTAATATACTTATCTGCCTGCTTAGTAATCTTCTTATAATAATTTATTTATAAATAATTAAATTTTTTTATATAATTATTATATATTTTAATTATCTGATCTATATATTTATTTATAATTTTATAAATATATTCTTTATAATTCTTTTTAATTAATTTTATAATATTATTATAAGATAAATATTCAGAGTAAAGTATAAAGTTAAATTTTAATTTATTTTTAAATTAATATTTAATAAATTATTATAAAGCTGCTTAATATTTATTTTATAATAATTATATATATTTATTATACTGCTTATTTATTAATCTAATCTGTTTTTTATAATTTATTTACTAAATATTAAGATTATAATTTTTAATTTTAATTTAAATCTTAAGAATATTAACTTAAGCTATAAGATTCTAAATCTTTTTATAATAATTATTTATATATTTTATTTTAATTTTTTATTTAATTATTTTTTTATAAATAACTACTTTTTTTAGAGTCTGAAGTTTAATTATTTTATTATTTATAATAATTTATTTATTAGCTATAGAATTAAGTAAGTTTATAATAATTTAATTTTAAAAAATAGTAAATATTATTTATTTATAATCGATTTTATTAAGTTTATAGATCTTTAATTTTATAAATTTTTTTTTATAAATATAATTATTTTTATAAATCTTCTGCTTCTGCTTGTGGTCGCGGTTTTTATTAATAAATATATTAGAATATAACTAATATTAATATTATAATTTTTAATAATTTATATTAGAATATTTTATTTTAAAAGAAAACAGAAAACTTAAAATCTTTTTTTATATTTTTAATAAAAATAATATAATAGTAGTGAATTTAAAGCTTTTTAGTCTTAATAAAATAATTATAATATAATTTTTTATATTTAATTAGTAAGTTAATAATCCGCGAAAGTTTATTATTAATAAGAATTATATTCTTTTTAATTATTATTTTATAAGTTAGTTTAATAACTAAATTTATATTTTTAAATAATAATATTTTATTATATTCTTTTAGAGCTATAATTATAAATATAATATTATTTTTTTCTTAAGTTTTATTTTAAATTTTAAATTAATTAATATCAGATTAACTGAATTAGTATCTAATAAAATAAAATAATATTTTTTATTATCTAAATTCTTAAATCTTTTAGAGAAGATATTTAAGATATATTTATACTAGTTATCTTTTTATAATTCAAAGATTATAATTACTATATTATTAATAAAAAGAAAAGATAGATTTCTATAATAAAATATGTAAAAAAGAAAGTAAGAAATATAATATAAAATAATAAAAAATAAGAAAAATAAGTAAGAAATAAAGAATAAGAAGTAAGATAAAAAAATAAAATAAGATAAAATAATATATAAAATAAAAATAAGATATATTAAAAATAGTTATTAAATAATTAAATAAATAAATACTAATTAATAAATAGTTATTATTAATATTTATTTTTTTAAAAATAATTTTTTAATAGTTGCTATATCTCTCTTTTATTAATTTTCTTTTTAATAGAATAAGATTTTTTATTATTATTATTTTTTTCTAGCTGTAAGATCTTGTGCTTTTTTTATAATATTAGAAAATTTTATATAAAACAGCTTTAAATAATTAATATAATATTTTCTAATATTAAATTATATTAAAATATTTTTAAGAATAATAAATTATTAATAATTTAATATTTTTTTAATTAAGAATAGCCCTGTCTAATAAAATTCTAATTTTTTTTTTTATTTTTATTAATTATAGTTTTTTATAGAAGTATTAGATTATCTATAATTATCTTTTTTAAAGAGTCTGATATATCTTATTATTTATAATATTATTATAAGATCTCTCTTACTTTATTTAATTATTTATATCTTATTATTTATATTATTACTAACTAATTATTATTATCTGTAAGATTATTTTATTATTTATAAATAATATTTTATATAGTCTGTTCTTATAATAATATTAAATCTAAATATTTTAATTTATATTCTAGAAGAATCTTTATTAATATAAATCTAATTAATTATATCTCTTTTATATTAATTAATTATATTATTATATTAAGAAACTTATTTTACTAGAATATACTAATTTTATTTTTTAGAACTATTATCTATAGTAAATTAATTATTATTTATATAATCTATTTTATAAAATTTATTAATTATAATATTATTACTACTGCTGTTATATACTTGACTCTTTTATATTTAATTATATTATAAAAATTAGTCTTAATAAAATAACTTCTATTATTTATATAAAATCTAACTAATTATTTAAATATTTTAATAATATTCTATTTAATAAAATTAAATAATTACTAAGCTATAGTCTCTAATAATATCTTTATAATTATATATTTATTAAAGTAGTCAGCTGCGATAAGAATATATTAATTATTTATAACTAATATTAGAATAATTAGTCTGATATAGTTTATTATTTATAACTTTATTAGTCTAAGTATAATTATTAAATATAATATATTATATAATATCTTTGATCCTGCTAACTGATATTTATTATATAAGATATAATATTCTTATATAATATTATATTATCTTGATTAGTAATAGCAGCTAATAACTTAATCTAGAATAATTCTAACTATAAAATAATTATAATAATTATATAATTTATATAAAATAGATAATAATTTATATAATAGTATATACTGAATCTATTTCTATATTTTTTTTTTATAAATTAAATATATTTTTTTCTTAAGATTAATAAATCTAAATTATTTTACAAAGTTTTTATTAATTATATTACTTAATAGTTATTTAATAATCTGACTATATTATTTAAATAATTTTTAATAATTAATTTTTTTTAATTATATATTATCTTGCTTAGTTTACTTCTGTATTTTTATAATAAAAATAAAGAAGATAAATTCTGATTATTTCTTATAAATCTTTTAATATAATATTTATAATAATTTATTAGTTACTATCTACAAGCGGCCAGAAATATATATAATATTAATATTATATTTTTATAGTTAATAATATTAGTATATAATTTTATTTATTATATCTAATATTTCAGTAAAAACTAACTATATTATAAAATAGTTTATATAAATAATTATAAAATAATATAATCTTTTTACTAGCTATCTTGTCTCTTCGAGATATCTAATAATTATAAGAATCTTTTTTTTTATAATATAATATTATTATTCCGCAGATAATAGAATAAAAAATATATATATAATTAAATATTCTTATTTTAATATATATTATAAGACTCTTATTCTAATTAATATATTATTAATTTAAAATAGTATATCTCTTAGTCTGTAGTTAGATATATTTATATTAAGATAATA